CATTTTCGAGCATGTCAGTTTTGCACAATAAGAAAATGGCTTTGTGAAAGGGATTGGGTTTTGTTTTTTTGTTGTTGGCACAAAAATTATTTTCTAATACCTCAAATCAAAACTTTCACCCATAGCAAAACATCCATCCAGAGAGGTGCTTCAGCGGTGCTTATCTACCAGTAAATCGCAAGAACAGCCAGTGGCTTCCAAGAACTCTGTATTGAGTCCCCAGGACTTCTCTTCCAGGAAATAGCACCGGTGTGACCACACCTCAGACCAAGTTGGGAGCGTTCCTTTCAAGCTCTTTAATTCCCTGGAGAATTCGCTTCATATGACCCACTTTCGGAATCCCCAGGTCCTAAAAAAAAAAAAGAAAGAAAAACAGAAAGATGGGAGGGAGGGAAGAGGGAGGGAAAAGACTGGAAGTTAAAAATCTCAACTAGTAATTAGCATAATTAGCATTTACTTCATCCACTTTACTAACAGTTTACTTTCAATGGTTCTGGAAGTGATAGCTAGAAAACTAAGCTAATAAAACAGAAATAGACTGATACTGAAAAAAATGACCAATCAATACAAAGACACCATACCCCATACAAAATCCTCTTAAATGTGGTATCTTCATGAATTATGTACAGCTAGGGAAACTGCTCAAGAGTCAAAACTCAGATTTTTTTTCCTCTTTCTTTTCTTTTTCTTTTTTTTTTTTTGTTTTTTTTTAAAGACAAGCCTCTCTTGTGACCTGAGGCAAAGGATGAAGGGCAACAGGTCTTTTCCCATGTCCATGTACACACACATTCTTTTTCTTTTCTTTTTCCTTTGGAGACAAGGTCCTGCTATCTTGTCTGGCTGACTCTTGAATTCTTAGTGACTCTCCTGCCTCAGCTTCCCATCCTCTAGAATTAAGTGCCACCATTGGCGCTTTATTTATATCTTGTGCTATATTAAACTTTAAAATTGTGGCCTTCTGGGCTTGGTGGCAAATGCCTGAAGCCCCAGGATTTAGGAGACCGAAGTCGGTAGATAGGGATCGAAAGGTCTATATAGCAAATGAGTGCAGCCTGAGCTACATGAGACCCAGGCTTTGGGGAGAAAAAAAGTGAGGCTTAATCCTAGAGAAAGACACAAGTGCCCACCACCTAAAATTTAAATGATAAATTTATTTGTAGTTGCATCAGGAGTCCTGATTTGACTGGAATATCTGATTACGAAGTCTTTATTTGTGAGTGTGCAAGAGTGTGTGAGTGTATATGTATGAGTCTGGGCATTGTGCATGATACAGTGACAATGTGGACGAACTTCTGTGAATTGGTTCTCTCCTCCTCCTTCTTTGAGGCGAGGTCTCTCTTGTTTCAATTACTCTTCAGTGCATCCCAGGCTAGCTGGCCCCAGGACTTCTAAGTGATCTCCTGTTTTTCTCTCCTATCTTTCCTGAATCCCCCCCCCACACACACACACAAACACACAAAAGTGAACCACAAGAGGACTTGTTTACAAAACGGAAGTATGCTAAGAATGTTCACTTGGTTCTATAATGTAAGGGCTGGATTCATTTTTAAACTTATAAATGAAGCAGACCCAACTGATCTAAATTACACACATGGAAACAGCATACACACTCTCTCTTACACTTTAGGGTAGCAATAATAACCATCACTCTAAATTCTTCCAGAAAACAACTTTGCCATAGCCAGTGCTAGCCAAGCTTGAGATAATTTCAGGGTAACATTTTTATCAAACTTAATTGACCAAGAAAAGCAAATGCTCTCATGTGCTACCAGAGCAAACAAAATTAGTCCTAAGGCTCTACACATTTCTTAGCTATGTGATAAATATCAGACTCGAAGGCAAGTCCAAATTCATGTCTGCTGCATACATTTGGAATGTAAATGAACATTTTAATGGGGCTGGAGAGGTGGCTCAGTGACTAAGACAGCTTGTTACTTTTACAGAAGATACAAGTTCAGTGCCTAGCATCCATGTCAAGTAGTTTACAACTATCTTTAATTCCAGCCCCAGGAACCCTATCCCTTCTGCTGGCCTTGTGGGCACTGTACTCATGGCTTACACTCACACAGAGATACACATAAATAAAAAATACATTTTTTTGCAAAAAGTATGTAAATGCTACACTTCAGAGTTCCCATTCAAGCAGAAGACTTACCCTTTAGACTTTGTAATAATATAGCACTCTGCTTATAAAATATATTTAAGTATTAAACATCTTATTTTAGGCCCTATAAACACTGCATTCTCCAGAATACAAACACCTTTGGCATTCTATTCAGAATTAATGGGTTGGTACAGGAATGTTTTCTAGAGGGTTAGCTACAGTTTCTTTGACCAAATTCAGTATCATCATGTCTTCTGGTTTGTAGGTTGTTATAAAAGATTTGCTTTGACATTTATATAGCTGTCATTTTAGCAAATATCATAAGCCCATATCACTGTATACTTAAGTTTTTATGTGGATGTGTTTGTGTGTAGTAGTATGCATGCAGACAGGTGCGTGATTTGTAGGTGCATGTAGCAGCCAAAGATCAATACAAGAGTGTCTTCTTTTCTGTCCTTTTCTATTTTTAGGACTCTGTTTCCTTGCTCTCCAAGCAGTGTCAGGAGCCTCTCCCTCTGGTGGCATGGGTCTCAAATCGAACCCATTATTGGTCTGCCACCCCCACAGTTCTATGCCCCTTTACACCAGCACACCCAGCAGGCACAAAGGATTGTAGGTTGGAAGGTTTTGTTGCTGGGTTAGTGTTCCAATCCCTCCACTGGAAGTCTTGCCTGGTTTTGAGATAAGAGTCTCTCTGAACCTGGGGCTCTTTGACTTGGCTAGATTCCTTCCCAGTCTCCACCTCCCCAGACCTGTGTACTTATTGCATTTATCAAATTCCTTATTTCTGACTTTTTGGTTTTTTTTGAACAGACAAAATTTTGTCCAAGACTGTTTTGTAGATACTGAGTTATCCTTGCAGCTACCCATATGCAACTTTCCAGATTGGGGGGGGGGGCGGCAGCCCTCTACTATGCCTTTACCATCTTCTCCAGTAACCCTCCCTACTGTGTTCCAGAAGGGGAAAGATCACTGCCGGCTTCCCCCTCAGCTAAAGCATGTTAGAAATGTTTCTCGTTGCCAAGTGTCAGGGTGTTATCTTCAGTTGTGATAAGGAAGGGACACTTGGTCAAACCCCGGGAAGAAGCTGACTGGGTGAGGGGTGATGAGACAAACAGACAATGAGGACACATCCTTACGGTCAGAAACAATATTTTTATGCAACTGAAAGGAGGCCAAAGTGGATGGGTCAGGGGCCAGTGACAAGAGTGTGAGTAAAGAGGCGGGGCCTTTGGGCCTCCACAGAGATGGACGCCATTATTCTCCCAAGAATGAGAAACCGCTGGAAGATCTGAAGCAGAGAAGTAACATACTTGAGTGAAGATGTCAATGTAGCGTAGTGATGCAACATGGATTATGGACTGGAGAGACAGAGGAACAGTCAGAAGACCTAGATGAAGCTACTGATCTTCCATGGGAAAGTGGGATGTGAGATGCTGCAGGTTGAAGGAAGGTCCTGGGGAGAGCCTGAGGGGGACGATGGAGCAGAATCCAGAATGTAAGAGTTTGGCTAGAATGTCGAGGTGGATCACGAAGAGGGAGGAGCTGAATCTGACTCTGGGTAGTCTCTGCTTCCAGCACCCAAGGGGCTAGGGGCATAGTTTAGAACAAAGCAGAGCTGGGGAAGACAGAACAGGGGAGGGAAAGAAGATGACAGTCCCTCTTGAGACATGGTAAAATTTATACCTCCTGTGATACTCGAGTATCGGCAGCCAGTAGGCAACACAATCCTATGGGTCACTAATGAGATCAAGAGCTGGAGGAGACTGTGAATCACTGACATTCAGGAGTAGGAGCTGAAGCGATGGGAATGGGTGTAAGATGACTCCACGGTGGGCGATTCTTTCCCAGCATTCTTGAACTGGTCTACAGTCTGCTGCTTCTGACAGCTCAGACACAGAGGATGGAGAAGCGGCTCTCCGGTTCATAGCCCTGTGCTCCAGAAGGCTCTCTCTCTCTGTAAAAATGTCCTTTCCTCATCACCCATACCCTATTTCAGAACCAGAAGGGGTAAGTGGCGATACAAATTTCTCAAGGAAAGTGTTGAGGGAGAAAAATAATTGGCATTAAAAACACAAAGAAAACAAAACCAACCCATGAAAAGCTAATGAGAAAGATTAGTACATTAATTCTTAACTGTCTCTCCTTTCTTCTCCTGCTCTCTCTCTCTTCCCACAGGTGACTATCGCTCTATTTGGCTTCTATGTACGAATGAATTTTAACATTTGGCAAATATTTGCGACATTCAATATATGTGTACAGATATGTATACACCTGTGTGTTGAGTATATATCTATATATGTATTCACATAACATGAACATGTATGTATCTGGGTGTGGATATGTATGATGTCAACCTCTAGAAGGCAAATGACACTAAGGGGCCCTAGCACAATCCATTAACAAGCAACTGACTATTCCAACAGATATTGCAGCCAGCCATGTTATCAGAAGTCACATAAACACTAGCCATAAATAGGTCCTATAGTTCTGTGCATATGTCATATGTGTGCACATGTACATATATTCTTTTCAAGTTTTGAGGTCACCTCTTTGCTTTATGAACTGAATGTAACAGTGTATTCTGAACTGCATCAGTTAGGACATATGGAATAATTAATGTATTATTTTATTATGATCACAGCTAAGAATGTTTAGACAGGAACAGTATTCTACTAAAGCACTGTACAATTTATTAATAAAGATATGAACTTCACACTATCTATTACTTGAACCAAAACCTCTGCTAAATTATTCAGATGAACGCACAGGACTTATGAATGAACTAGAAAAGTCGTAACTCTATGCATTCCAGAACATGATCTATCGGTAAGGGATTGTTACAGCAATGTTATTTACTGTGGTTTAAAATGGCAGCACGTAGCAAGAAAAAACAACACAGCAAACTCCTACTATGCATGCTTCTCTGCGTGTGCATGCCTGTGGAGACCAGAAGTTGATGTGTGGCTTCCTCCATCACTCATGATCATATTTTTGAGACGGGGGTCTCTCACTGAGTTTAGAGGTCGTTGCTAGACTGGCTGGATAGAGAATCCTCCCGTCTCTAATCACCCCCAGTCCTGACGTTTAAGACACATGCTGCCATACTGCTGTTGTTTGCATGGGTGCTTCGGATGGACCTCCAGTTCCCACACTTGTGCAGCTGCAGCAGCTTTCCTGAAGGCACCGTTTCTCCAGCTCCTATCATTCTAGTCTTAAATCCTGTACAGAATAGCCCTGCCTTGGCTGTTCTGCTGTTGAGTATGTACCCAAAGAAAACCAAGGAATTACTGCATGTCATCAATGAAAGCTTTTCCTGCTGTGGCATGTATGACTGAGAAAGCAGCTATGCATACTTGTAGCTCCAGTTACAAAGAAAATAATGTTATTTCTTTTTGGGATTATTAAGACATTAACAATGTGTCATGAAAAGGAAGCTTTGATTTACTGGTCTTGTTATTCCTGTGATCCCTAAAGTCCAGTTTAGAAACACAACCAAATCATAGGACTCTAAATTATCACTACTGTTTCATATACACTTTCATATACTAGAAAGACTTATTGATATTTTACAATTGGTATATTCATTTGTAGTCTTTTCCAACAATAGCCATCACCATCCATGCAGTTGCAACACAGTGAGGTGACAGAAACATGCCCCACTTGGAAATGTGAGGACAATAACAGCCACACCAATGGACACAGAGCAAAGTTAGTAGGTACATGCTGTGCTTCAGCCAGAGTCAGAGAAAATCCTCCTGACATACTCACTGGAAAAGCACACAAGGAAATCAGACCACCAGCAATGAATGTGTGAGATGACTGGACATTTGCATAACACAAGCCAAGCTGAAAGCACATGACAGAGGACACACAGGAGCAAAGATTCTGTATTGCAAGAAATGTTCCAAAACCAAAAAGAAGCTCAAAAAAAAAAAAAAAAAAAAAAAAAATCTGAACTACCAAAGTTAAGAGCAAAACCCCCTTAATTTCTACATGCGTGATGCATTACAAAGCAAAAGGTCGGCCATAGAAGACGCAAGACATACAGACAGCAGCGCTAGCAAAGGGCAGGTGGAAGGCAGTGGGTCAGTGGGTACTTCAGGAAGCTCCCCTCCCCTCCCCATGCAGGTTATGGACTGCCAACGGACATGAGGAGGATGTGACTATACAAGGCTGTGTGCCACCCTGCACCCACACCTCCAGCTGTGGCCCAGCTTCTCATCCAAACTACACAGTGTGTATGAGGGCGCTAATTCTGCACCATTAGAATCAATGATGCAAAAATCATGTGCTCTGATACCTTGGCTTAAGACCATGGATAAAAAGGTTTAGTTAGAAGTGAGCTACAAATATTAATTAAAATTAGAATCTGATCTGGGCTACTTGGTTTCACACATTTTTTCTGCTTGGGTCTTGCCTTTATTGACTCTACTGTTATTAACAATTCCAACAATCAATGCCTACAGATTGCTTTAACATAACAAGACTAGCTGAATTATACTACTTCTCAGTATGGATAACTGTTCTTTCAAACTTGTTATTAAATGTGTGCTAGCATAGTAAAACCCTACTTTTTTTTTTTTTTTGCTGTGTTTGGTTTTTAAACACTCCTCAATAGTTATTCCTGTAGATGTAAGGTTTTATATTACTTTTTCTAAAGATGACTAACTCACAAGAATCAAGGAAATTCATCTAAGAATTTGTAAAGTGATTTCTTCATGAAGGCAGGTCTAGACACAGAACCCCCAAGGTACTGGCACAGCAGGCATTGAGTTAAACTCTGAGGGAAGAGAACCAGGAAAGCAGCAGGGTACAGAAGAAATAGGCACCGGTGTTATCAAGTTCACTGTCCTTAAAACCGGGAAAAAGAGGATTTGTAACTTCAGTGAAAGAATATATTTAGCAAGCTGAGTAAAAGAAAATGTTTATGTTCCCCTTATCAAAGTGATCTGGAATTTTAACTGTGAGAAGAAAATGAAGTTATACAATGATGTCTAAGCAGCTGTTGAGAAGATAGACACACTGACCGACTCAACCAGACAGAACACAAAGAACTTGGTGACCGCCTCATTTCATTTGTAGCTACACATTCTCACATTAACTGGACATGTTAGGTATGATGTGATTGGCACGGTTCAATGTATCATTTTAAAGTGTACAATTCAATGGTATTCAGTATATTTGCAGTGCTGAGAAACGCCCACCACTACCTGGTTCTAGGACATTCTTCCCATCCCCTCACTGACACTTTTTCAGTAAGTTAATTTTTTTCCCCCACGATGGAGCTACCTACCAGCCTGTGAACTTGTTTTCTGTTTCTGAGCCTTTTCCTTTTTAAACTTTGGCACGATACGAAAGACTGTGCTTTTGTTGTTTCTTTTGGTGCAATCCATAGGAGGTTCCTGTTTAAAACAAGCAAAAAAAAAAAAAAAAAATCATTGTTTTAGGATGTTATGGGAAGAAAAGCCCACTCTGCTAATAGGGATAAAATAGGAATGGTGTCCTAATTAGGGTTTACTCTTTCTGTGATAAAACACCATGACTAAAAGTAACCTGGGGAGGAAAGGGTTTCTATTTCTGCTTACACTTCCACATCCCAGTCCATTGCTGAGGGAAGTCAGGACAGGAACTCAAACAGGGCAGGAACCTGGAGGCAGGAGCTGATGCAGAGGCCATGGAGGATGCTGCTTACTGGCTTGTTCATGGCTTGCATAGCCTGCATTTTTATAGAACCCAGGATCACCAGCCCAGGGGGATGGGCCGGGCCCTCTCCCATCAATCACTATTCAGGAAAATGCCCTATAGGCTTTTCCACAACCCAACCTGCTAGGGCATTTTCACAATTGAGGTTCCCTTTTCCCTCCCTTCCTTCCTTCCTCCCTCCCTCCCTCCCTCCCTCCCTCCCTCCCTCTCTCTCTCTCTCTCTTTGACATAAAAGCAGCACAAATGTGTTCTGAATACACAACACACACCACTCTACTGAATGTCCATGTTCACAAAAGGCCCTTTCTCCCTTAACTAAACCTTTCTAAGTGGTATTCAAAACTCATTTTCCTGAAATGTCTCTTCTTCAAAAGTAAGCCCAAACTCTACACTCTCACTGTTTACATCCGCCAGTAAGCTGAGTTTGCCATACCTCGTCCTCATTGGGGTGCAGGATGTAATAAAGCCAGGGGATCTCCATTAACTTCTGCAGCTCCACCTCCACAGAGTGTAAGGCACTGGATACCCGCTCTTCATGGGGAGATTCCAACTGCTACTCACCAGCAGGGGGAGAAAGGAAACAAAGCAAGACTCAGTGACCAAATTTATACAACAACAGGGCCATTTTCAGCATCCTTCCTTTTGATATAAGCAAGTAGCTTTCGTTCTAGTCCCTGATCCTGAAGCTGACATGCATAACTGGTGCTGAGAATTTCCCCTCCAAAAGTGCTACTTTCGGGCTTTCTTGGATACCTTTCCCCTTCCTCCTTCACTGTTTCCAAGCATATTATCTGTGAACTGTTATATTTGGGTCAAAATTCTTCTAACATACAGATGTTCCATGAACAAGCAACAGTTCCATGAACAGTTTTTTTTAAAACCTCAAATATTTGTCATGTAAAAAGCATATCACAAAAAAAAATCTGGAAAATCAAAATAGCAAGTTTAAGGGAAAAGTGAATCTCAGAAAAATTTGGGATGAAGAACTATTACAAAAAATCAGGATAGAGCCAAAAGCCAAGGGTCTAGTTATCTGGGACTGGATGTCTAGATAGCTGTTGAGAAGATAAGGACCCCTTTGAATGGACACACTGACTCAACTGGACAGGACACAAAGAGCTCAGCTACCACCCGTCTTCTCATTTCATTAATAATAAAACTACACATTCTCATCAGTAACTGGATATGTTGGGTATGATATTACATGATGCAGCTAGTCTGAAGAGAATATAATTGTCATCTGCTATTCACTATAACTTAAGGCAGGTATTACAATGCACAGAATTAGAAGGCAGTTGATGAGATTCTAGTCCTGGCTTGGTTACAAACTATGCAAAATTAGGAAGGTAACTAACTTTAGGCACCCTAGTTTCCTCTGTGTTAGAAACAGCACAATGTGACTAGAACATTTCTGAGGGCTTTTTCAGTTAACCAATACCTTTACAGACCATTTTAAAGTCCACAGTACCTACACAGATGTTCGCAGAATACTAAAAAGGGAAGTTCTGAGATTATCTTTATGGTTTATAATAAGTATCTTTTTGTTGTGGATTCTCCATGATACTGAAAGTACCTCCTAGTAGTTAATGAAATAATGAGATTTTCCACTCTACTGTATGACATTTACCATTTTCCATTTAGTATAACTAAAGTGATTAAATCGTTTTTCACATTTGTTCTGGAAGTAAAATGAAAAATAAACTTTAGTTGTTCTCAAATATAACGTTATTGTCATATTATTGCTAAGAGTTTGGGTAAAATTTACTGAGACATATTTCAAACCAAATATCCATATTTGAGGATCACAGAGAAATAGAAGTAGGGGGTATGTCCTTATATTTTAACAAAATATAATCACTAAATATAATACATTAGAGCAAAGGAGACATTTTTGTTGCGAGGGACAAAGTTGTCATAATGACCTTACAAATCTTTCAAGTGATATACAAAAGCACTCCCATTTAAAAACTGGGACCTTAATCACAGCCCACAGGATTTTGGATGGGCTTATTTTGGAAAAAGCAATAGAAGATTCTGACTAACAAAAATAGTGTCAACAATAGCCTAGAAGGGCCCTTCACCCATCTTAACAACAAGTAACCAATGCATCTTCCCACTAGCTCTACATAGCAGGAGTGGCAGCAGCCACCCTGTGGCCTGGGAAGCTTCGTTTCAGTTCCCCAGAAGGTGGTGAACAGTGCTACCCCTAACAGAAGCCTCTGGGTCTATTAAGCAGAAAGGCGGCTCCAGTGGTGGCATCTTGCGGGACCACAGTCACAACCCAGCAGGAAGTCCAATTCCCCAATCCACCACTTCAAGTGCTATGACGTTAATGACTTTTATAATTTTATGTAGGTTTATATTTGCCGAAACAGATGAAACCACTTCGAGAAGAAATGCTCTGAGATCATTCAAAGGGATGCAAGGAAGGGAAAGACAGCTAATGTGTTAGGCCTTCCACACACCCAACGCCACAATCCAGCTATCGGTGACGAAAGACTCAATGTTAGAATATTCAAAAACCATTCAGGTGTTTTTTTACAGAAAGGGCTGGCCATATTTATGCTCCAGGTCTGTGGGTTTTAGCCAGATTCACATTTTCTTATACTTGATTTCTAGGGCCAAATTGAGTTAAAACAGAAACTGCTTGAAACACAAAGCTTATAGAGCTAATATGGAAGAACATACCAATCATATTTCCAATATTCACTGGGAGAATGAAACTGCGATTTCTCCTAAATTTGTGCGCATACAAATAGCTGAGGAATGTCTACTATCCCTTATACAGCTCAGATCTCTTAAAGCAGACCGGGGAGAGAGGAGTGGCATGAGAACATGACAGCCACAATCAGAGCTCTAAAGTTTAGCCTTGCTTTCTGAAGGCGAAAGTTTGGTCGAAAGGGAGGTTAAGGATGGAGGCCAGAGATCTGCTCAATACATACTCACTAATGAAGCAAGGCGCAGATTCTTATTTCACCATTTGCTCAACAAACCTAGAGTCACATGGGAAGAAGGAACTTCAAATGAGGAATTTCTTTCAACAGATTGGCCTGTGGCCTTGTCTGTAAGGCATTTTCTTATTTGCTAATTAATGAAGGAGGGACTATTCTTAATTGCTAATTAATGAAGGAGGGCCTAGCACACAGTGGGCAGTACCATCCCAGACAGTGGGCTCTGGGCTGTAAGAGAAAGGCCAATGAACTGAGCATGGAAGCTAGCCATGTTCTGCTATGGTCTGGGTTTCATTTCCTGCCTCAGGATGCCGCCCTGACTTCTCTTGGTGGTGGATGGTGACCTGGGAGTTGTAAGATGGAACAATCCCTTTCCTCTCTAATTTGCTTCGGGTCATGGTGAATCACAGGCAAAGAAGCAAACTTGAACAGCTAGCAAGCATTTCTTTTCCTTACCAAAGGAACCCTGCCAACTAGCAAGGACTCTGTTTCATTATATAGCGCCTTGACATTGATGGCTATTTCAGTGGCAGTGTCTCTTGTAAGACTCTAGAAAAGAGTAGCAAAGACATATATTCCCATATTAAATTACGATTCCATCACCAATAAACTCTACAAATTTTATTCTCATTATAAGCAATTGTTAAAAAAAATACCAAAATTCTCTAACAAATTCGAATTTTTGTACACAGGTTTGTCATCATGATTATTTCTGTTAATTAATAAATCACAAAATTGAAAGAATGACCTAAAATGTAAATATACTCAGGCTCACATTTCCTACCCATAAGTACATATATGCTGGAACTAAAATACACATATTTCCATAAAAGTTAAATCAAAGAAACTTATGTCTTGAAGGAAAATATCTGATTATACCGATAGACTTCGCATATCATGGGTTTGAACAGTCTGTGTGTGTGTGTGGGGGGGGAGTCCAGTTATGCACACCTTTGTAGATTTGTGGCCATTTGAAAAATCTTACCTGCGGAGCCAGGAAATATTGAGCAAAATTAAGAAAAAGTTAAATAGGTTATGAATACATAAAATACATGCACAAATTCAACTATCAGAATGTCGGGGTTGGAAGAGGGCTCATCAGTTAAGAGCGTTGCCATTCTTGTAGGACCTGAGTTCGGTTCCTAGCACCATGTCAGACAGCTCTCAATTGCCTGTAACTCTAGCACCACAGAATCCAAGGCCCTCTTCTGACCTCCTAGGGTACCTGTTGTCAACTGCATATACCCCAACACAGACACACAAACACAAAGACACTCATATAGAATTAAAAATAAAATAAGTATTTTTAATAAATACACTCATGTACTCAAAAAATAGTGTCGTTCTCGGTTGACGCAAGTGTAGATCATTGTAAAGTGCACTGTTAAATCATAACTTGGTGAAATGAACTGCAGAACAGATTTTACTGTTGTAATCATGTCAGCTTCTTTCTGTTGCCCTTGTGGCGAGCTCACATATTGATGGTATCTGCTTAAAATTCTACACGACACAACTTATCTCTGCCTGCCCAGTTATCCAGGAAATTATGTATTGCAGTAATAGTGCTCTCTCATGATCCTTGAATATCTTTCACCATATGCAATATATAAAATATATGTTAAATAGTTAAGAGCACTGGCTGCACTTCCAGAGGACCCAGGTTCAATTTCCAGCACCCGTAAGACAGGCAGCTCACAATCATCCGTAACTCCAGTCCCAGGAGATCTGATGCCCTCATCTGGCCTCCAGGGGTACTGCATACAAACAGTGCATGGACATACATTAAGGCAAACACTCATGCATTAAAATAAATACACGTAACCTATAATACATACACATAAGATATAAATAAGTAAAATCACCTAAGATGTGTCAAGTGACTTTAACATTACTGGTCACCAGCAGACAATTACAGTAGTCAGGCTGTGGGAGAGTTAAAGGTCATACACAGACTTTTCTACTCAGAGAAGGCAGAGTCCTTTCACCCTCCGTGTTGTTTCAAGGGTTCATTGCAGTTCTGTTTTCACTTGGTAGTACCAAATACATTGATTTTTTGAACTTTAATCACCAGCAATGACATTTAGTTGAACATTAGTTTGGGTCGTTTCAATTGAATAATTAAAAAAAAAATAACGTTATCAGCTTTCCCCAGACTATCCCATTGTATAGTAGCTCGCATTCCAGGAGTTACACTGTGGCCACTCCATCACCAACACCAACATTAAACTAACGAAGCATCCACTTACAGTTCAGCAAAAAGTGAAGCTCAGCATCAGAGCACAACTGAGAAATGACTGAACCTCTCCAACCAAGCACATGAGGTCATTTTAGGTTTGCCTTTTGTTTAGGATCAGGGCAAGGGTAAAGGAAGAGGAAGAAGGGACGATGACAACAGATGGAAGATGCTTGACCGTGAGATGAGATGGCTCAGCAGGTAAAGGTGCTTTGCTACCCAGCCTGCTGACTGAGTTCAGTACCCAGAACCTACATGGTGGTGGAAAGAGAGAACCAGCTCTTGCAAGTGGTCTTCTGGTCTCCACATGCGTTCTGTGGCTACCCTCTATCCCCAAAATGGATGGATGGATGGATGGATGGATGGTAGAATAAAAACCATAGAAAGACTTGAAAGGAGATGTCAAGGTGGCAAGTGACTAAAAGTGAAATAGAAGGAAATGCAGAAAATTTAAGAGCAGAAATATAATATGCAGAAAAAAGGCAAACAAAACTGCGGCCACAAATTTACTATGCCTTGTAAAACTCATGAAGAACCTTGTGCTGGCTAGTTTGTCAACTTGACACAAGCTAGAGTATCGAGAAGAGTAAACCTCCACTGCAAAAATGCCTCCATCAGACGGGCCTGTAGCCTGATCTGTGGAGCATTTGCTTGGTTGATGATTGATTGGGGGGCGGGGCCCAGCCCACTGCGGTCAGTGCCACCTGGGGGTAGGTGGTCCTCGGAGGCATAAGGAAGCTAAAGGTGAACCTGAGAAGCAGGCCAGTAGGCAGTGTTCCTCTATGGTTTCTGCCTCCACGTTCCTGCCAAAGTTACTAAGCTAACTTCATGATGGACTGCGATGGAAACATGTAAGCCAAATAAACTCTTTCCCCCTCAAAGTGCTTTTGGTTAGCATTTGTAATCACAGCAACAGGGAGACACTACCATCTTTCACAAGGAGGGTCTCTATAGTATTTTTACAGTAGTTGGAATACCAAAAGAATCTGTGGAAAGATAATTTACCATTAAATCCTCACCTCTGGGAAGCGTGGGTTGGCTTTGTTCAGGGCATGGGAGCATGCATTTACTGCATGAGCCAGTTCTTGCTCCAGGAGACAGTGAATCGTGGCTGCATCACAAATACTAAAAGTAAAAATGAGGCAAAATAAACAATCCGGGGCACTGCTGAACACTGACTTTATAAGAGAGTCTCTCCTTGCCTGGAGATAGCCATGCTGAAAAGCGAAAAAGGCTACACAGAGTGTGGCTTTCAAGTCTCCAGGACATTTGCTTGCTCGCTGGTTTACTGATGTGCTGTGTTGAAACCAGAGCCTCGCACATACTAAGCTGGCGCTGTATCCATTACACCTCAATGCAGAAACTGCCAATGCAACACACCAGGGAACAACTTACCATATTTATCACCTACATGCTTACTGTTTTATACATATTATAGAATTTAATGTTAACAGCCTATGACGATAAATTTTCTCAAGTCTGCAGATGAATGCATCGGGGCTCAAAGAGACTGGAAATGCGTACAGTGCCAGTGAGTGGCAGGCTGAGAACTTGCCACTCTCACTTGGAAGCTAAGTTAAGGATCTTGTCACAGCCTCTCTTCCACTCTGAATAGTGCCGCTGTAGTGATTTTTTTTTTATCTTTTGTTTGTTTATTTTTCAAGACAGAATTTCTCTCAGTGTAGTCCTGGCTGTCCTGAAACTCACTATATAGAACAGGCTGGCCTCACCCTCACAGAGATCCATCTGCTTCTGTTTCCCAAGTGCTGGAATTTATGGCGTGTGCCACTATCACCTGGCCAAATTTTTATGTCTTTTACATTTATCAAACTCAGTTTTAAAAAGATCTCTTCCCTTTTCTGTCTAGAAAGGTAACTAGGTGTGGTCTCTAAATCTTTGGTGTGTATTGCCAAAAGTGATCCTACAACTGTTTTATCATGTTTTGTGACCTGTCGTCCACAGTGAGTAATCACAGAGCAACATGTGAGTAAGTAGGTGGTACAGAAATACTAATGAAAACTCCAAGTGTGGCACGGCAAGGTCATCATAGTTTTCCAAGCTATGTAAGATGTAGACTACAGAGAGCATTGCAGAAGACCTGATAAAGGGGATGAAACATAGCTGAGACCCTCTGGTGGCAACGAATGAAATAAGCTAACATATCCCTTATTAATGCCCTAATACTGGCTAAGATCAGAGTTCTCTCCGAGGCAAAACTCCAGCAGAAGCACTTTACCTAGTAATGAGTTCCTCTGCTGCCTGGGAGCAGAGCCGCATCTGTGACACCTCTTCTGTTGCCAGGTCAGCGGCGGGATGGATGTACAGGTTGGCCCGAAGAATTGGCTTACCAGAGTCACACTTTTGCTTGTCTTCCCAAGACTTCAGAGTACTTTCGAAAGCCTGTTTAAAGTCAGGATTGCAAGAGATGGCTACGTTAGAGCTCCGAGACTGATATAACTAAATATGTATATATATATTCATTCATGTATATATACTTGCATATAAATATCGGTGTGTTCATGTGTATATGTGTGTTTATACATAGATATGTATATATTCATGTATATATACGAATTTAGATATATAGTTAATAAGTTAAATAAAATATATAACATACACATACAGATTAGATATATGATAGCTAGGTATTACATGAAAGAGTCTGAAACTGGAGTGCTTTGCTATACTCTAAAAACTCATTAAATTGGTGAAAGGGATTTTGCAAGTTTTTCACTGTATCACATTAAAGAGACAGTAATGTGAACAATGAAGATGTTTATACTACTGATGCTGCAGAACATTATTTTAACTATGTGAAGGTGTGTTACATTTGTTTCTGCTGCCTTTGTTTAATTATATAAAGATGTGTTGCATTTGTTTCACTTTACCTGCCTAAGGCACCTGATTGGTCTATTAAAAAGCTCAACAGCCAATAGCTAGGCAGGAGAGGGATAGGTGGGGCTGGCAGGCAGACAGAATAAGTAGGAGGAGAAATCTAGAGGGAGAAGAAGAAAACAAGAGAGAAGAGAGTGGGGAAGAAAGAGAAGGGCATGCCTGGGGCTAGAAGCCAAGTAGCCAGACAGACACAGAATAGAACACACAGAAGGGAGGGAGGGGAGGAGAAGGAAGGGGAGGGAGGGAGAGAGGGAGGGAGGAAGGAAGGAAGGAAGGAAGGAAGGAAGGAAGGAAGGAAGGAAGGAAGGAAAAAAAAAGCCCTGAGGCAAAACACAGATGATGAGAAACAGGTTAAGTTAAAAGAACAGTGGGACATGACATGCGTAAGATAAATCTGAGCATTCATAATTAGTAATAAGTCTCTGTGTTGTGATCTGGGAGCTGGTTGGTGGCCTACAAGAAAGCCTGGTACACACTGATATTAACAAATAGCACTCACGCTTCAATCTTTATTTATTCAATTAGTGATCAATCCAGATTTTATTTTACTTTATTCTTTTACTAGATAATATAAATACTGTGGGCTGACCTTAATTAAAAATACTTCTTTTGGGGAATATCAAAGTATGGAGATGGCAGAGAGAGAGAGAGAGAGAGAGAGAGAGAGAGAGAGAGCGAGAGAGAGAGAGAGAGCGAGAGAGAGAGAGAGAGCGAGAGAGAGAGAGAGAGCGAGAGAGAGAGAGAGAGCGAGAGAGAGAGAGAGAGCGAGAGAGAGAGAGAGAGCGAGAGAGAGAGAGAGAGCGAGAGAGAGAGAGAGAGCGAGAGAGAGAGAGAGAGCGAGAGAGAGAGAGAGAGCGAGAGAGAGAGAGAGAGCGAGAGAGAGAGAGAGAGCGAGAGAGAGAGAGAGAGCGAGAGAGAGAGAGAGAGCGAGAGAGAGAGAGAGAGCGAGAGAGAGAGAGAGAGCGAGAGAGAGAGAGAGAGCGAGAGAGAGAGAGAGAGCGAGAGAGAGAGAGAGAGCGAGAGAGAGAGAGAGAGCGAGAGAGAGAGAGAGAGCGAGAGAGAGAGAGAGAGCGAGAGAGAGAGAGAGAGCGAGAGAGAGAGAGAGAGCGAGAGAGAGAGAGAGAGCGAGAGAGAGAGAGAGAGCGAGAGAGAGAGAGAGAGCGAGAGAGAGAGAGAGAGCGAGAGAGAGAGAGAGAGCGAGAGAGAGAGAGAGAGCGAGAGAGAGAGAGAGAGCGAGAGAGAGAGAGAGAGCGAGAGAGAGAGAGAGAGCGAGAGAGAGAGAGAGAGCGAGAGAGAGAGAGAGAGCGAGAGAGAGAGAGAGAGCGAGAGAGAGAGAGAGAGCGAGAGAGAGAGAGAGAGCGAGAGAGAGAGAGAGAGCGAGAGAGAGAGAGAGAGCGAGAGAGAGAGAGAGAGAGAGGGAGAGAGAGAGAGAGAGAGAGAGAGAGAGAGAAATTGAGACAGCCTCACTGTGTAGCTATGGCTGGCCTAGAACTGAATTTATAGACCAGGCTGGCTTGAACTAGCAGAATCAACCTGCCCCTGCCTACAAAGTGTTGGAATTAAAGGTAGCTGCCACCATGTCTGGCAGTTAACAATATATTATTGTAAAAACTGCACCAGTGGTTCAAAATATCAACAATGGGATTTATGTGTGCTGGATGTGGATGGAAAGAAATACGTAGGAATAGAATTAGAGTTCTATGTACATTCTGCTTAATTGTCCAGTAAGTCTACAAATAGTAAAAGGATAACCTATTTGATTTAAAATAAAACTGAGTAAACCTTCGCTCATACTTAAAACTACAACGAGCTAAATGCTGCAAATGTGCTAAACCGAATATTTAAGGGATAATTCCTCTCAATGTTTTCTAATTTCCCACTTTCAAAAAGAATTTGATAAATTCTAGAAGAGTATTTGGAGGACAGAAAGATGGCCCAGTGGTCAAGGGCACACACGTACAACTCTTGCAGAGGACCCAGCACTCATGTCAGATGGCTCACAAGCAATCGCCTGAAACTCCAGCTCCAGGCAGGGGCAATACCCCTCCCTGACATGTGTGGGCGCTGCACACTCATGCACAACACGGTCCCCAACATGCACACGGTGGAAGGTGAAAATCACAAGACCGTTACGTACTCTGTCTCTTGTTAGCATCTGAGCTCTGTTTTTGTGGACAATTTTGATGATCCCTGGAGGCTGAACCCAGGCTTCACCATCCACCTGCACGGGGACTCCCTCATCACCAAATATAGTGATCTTTACTGTGCGGCACTGAAATAAAGCCAATATGTTATTTGAGAATACAGATCGGCCTGAGTCTCTGTGCGACGACAGGGTGACAGAGACATGACAGAAAGTCAGTATTTTACGGAAGCATATCAGGGCAGCCGTCGTCTGAGACAGCTTCCTTCTGTGCTCCGAGACCCAAGAAGTAGAGTGAGCTGTGATGTGGGAAACCAACCTGTGCTATCCGGTGATGCTGCAGTTTGATGACCCTTGATACTGCCATCTGCACACTGTCAAATACTGCAACCACTTCCAGGATCTTGTCATCAAATGATGGCGCAGCAAATATCTAAAAGGGAAAATTGATTGCGCTCATTTCCACCCAAGGTTTAGGTAGAATAGAACATCAAGCCCCCAAACTCTGCCAGACAGACACCAAACACCTAAAAACAGACAGTGAAGAGGTAAATATCAGAAAGTAACAGACCAAGGCAGTTACCACCAAAGACAGCTTAAAATAAACATACTTTCAAAAAGGGTTTCAACATCCACACAGTATTTAATTGTCTCCTCCAGTGCTCTCTGGGCCAACACATTTCTAAATAGTTCATCTGGATACGAATGTGGTAATACTTCACATATAATTGGTAGACATTTTGATAAGATGACAATATACAAGGGCCCAAAAGCGGACGCTGATGATCATGGAAACCGTGATCCTGTGCACCTGGCATGTTTTAAAGACATTCTGTCAGGGTGTTCTAAGCTATATACATTTGTGCTGTTATCTTTTTCAAACATTTATTTTCATTTTTTTAAATGATAGGCATGTGGGTGTTTCTGCATGTCGCTGTGTGCAAGTGAAAGCGGGTGCCCGCAAAGACCAGAAGAGTGTGTTAGTTTTTATCAACTTGACACAGCCCCCATCCTCCAGAAAGAGAGACGCTCAATGGAAGAACCTCCTCCATCAGACTGGCTTGTAGGCTCGCCTATCAGGCTTACTCTTGATTACTGATTGATATGGGAGGACGTAGCTCACTGTGGGCAGTACCAGCCCTGGGTTGCATAAGAAAGCAGACTGAGCAAGCCACCAGACTAGTCAGTAAGCAGCCTAATCCATGAGGTCTCTGCTTCAGTTCCTACATTGAGTTCCTGTGCTAATTTCCTGCCATGGTCAACTGTGATTAGGCGAAATAAATCCTCTCCTCTCCAAGTTGCTGCTGGTCATGCAGTTTACCAAAGCAATAGAACAAACTTGGACATGTACCCAGAAGCTGCAGGTACAGTGCTTGTGAGCTCGTGCTGGGTGCTGGAACTGAGCCAGGGTCCTCTGCAGGAGCAGTGAGTTTTCATCACTGAGCCCATCTCTCCAGCCCCGTGCCTTATGTCTTAATATAACATCGTCTTAGGGCTTTGTGAGTGTGGAAACAAAAAAACCTCAGAGGGCAAAACTTCCCCAGGAATACTCTGCTTTTATGTTAAGTGCATGCTCACACAACTGGTTCCAAGAAGGTTAGGCCCTGTCACTCTGTTCTGGTTACTTTCTCACTTGCTATATTATAGGCAACGATGACTGAAAAATATTCACTCTAAAAGAATATCATAATTAAAACTTGTATTGGAAATACGAGCCCACAAACGTGCTGACACTGATAATTTCAGTGTCAACCTTCTACTTTCTGTTATCAGACCACCTGGATTCAAGTTGCTCCTCTGTTAGCAACCGTGGAAACTTTGTCTCCAGTTTTTCAAGGCTAACATTAAGAAGTTAAGGTTTGAGGTTGTAGCCCAGTGTTACAGGGGTCAACTAGTATGGGCAGGGACCTCAGTACTGATTCCTGATGCACGCATGCGCGTGTGCACACACACACACAAGCACATAGGGGAGGGGGGAGGAAGAGGGGGAGGGGAGAGGGAGAGGAGAGAGGAGGGGAGGAGGAGAGGAGGTGGGGAGGAGATCGTGTGGGTGTTAAGAATGACTACGGAGCTGTTCTGAGTGCCTATGAGTGTTCAGGAGTTGTCAACCTTATCTTCCTCTCACTGATTTCACACCTTCAGAATATGAGTGGTGACTGACATGCTGGCAAGAAGAATGGGCGAGTCTGTTGTTATACTTCAATAGAACCAAGCATCGATCCATGCCTTGAGCATTATACCTTGTGTGCTCATTTAAGCCTCAAACTGAAATCAGAGGAAGATTCTTCAACATCTTTCTGTGGTATGCCCACTTCAATAATTGTGCTCTTTTTCCTTCTTTTTAGAGCAAACATGACTGTTTCTTTCTTTCATAATACAAGGAAACACCAATAGTCTACACACCTTTAATGCCAGAACCCTGGAGAAACTTCAGAGTGTATTCATGAGCGAGAATGTTGACATAAAACACTAGGGATTCTACCTCACCTTCCAAATATTGTAAAAAACATTTGTCAGGTAAAGATTGACATGGCATTAATATCACAAAGTACATTTTAAAAAGTTAGACATTCTGGTAATTTTATTGGCGCTGAGGAAATAAACTCTAACCCCATTACCCTACTTACATCATCCTCTTTGGTTCCACCCCAGAAGTTGGTGCCTCCCGCGTAGCTAGGGATGTTCAACACCGCTATGCCTTGTAGACTGGGCAGAGGAATATACTGTCCATCACACTGCAAGGTAAAATGTCTGGAGATTAGAACGCCTAAAATCTCGGCACTTCGGAGTGGACATAGGAAGAGCAGAGGGGTTCATGAACTTCCTCATCTACACAGCAAGTTCAAGGGCAACCTGGGCTACATGAGGCCCTATCTCAAAATACAAAGCTCAGAGGTGAGACAAAAACAGCAAAACTGTTACTTCAGAGTTACTGGGACAGCAGTGTGTCCCCGGAGCTTGCTTTCTTATAAACACACCCTTCCACATTACCAAGAGTTTGAAACAGGGGAATGCGTCCATAGTGCTAGCTACTTGTAGATAAACTCTCAAATATTACAAAGGCCATCATCTTACTTTTTTCTTAATTAAAACATTTTCTTAAAATATAAATAACTTTAAAAAAAAGCTGGACAGTAGTGAGTAGTGGCACACCCTTTCAATTCCCAACACTTAGTTAGGGAGGCAGAGGCAGGCAGGTCTCTATGAGTTGGAAGCCAGCCTAGCTGTCTACAAAGAGAGTTCCAGAACAGCCTCAGTGATTACACAGAGAAACCCTGTCTCCAAAAACCAAGGGGAAAAAAGTATAAAGAAGAAATTTTTACAAAAATTGAATTAAAAACATGTTTCCTTCATCTTTCCTCCCAAACCAGGCCGTGCTTTTCTTGGATCTCCTTCAGATCAGTTATTAAAATTTCTAGCCCAGTGGTCTTCTACCTTCCTAATGCTGAAACCCTTTAATACAGTTCCTCGTGTTGTGCTGACCCCAACCATAAAATTATTTCATTGCTACTTCATAACTGTAATTTTACTACTGTTATGAATTGTGATGTAAATATCTGTGTTTTGCAATGGTTTTGGTGATCCTTGTACAAGGGTTGTTGGACCCCCAAAGAGTCACAACCTATGGGCTGAGAACTGCTGTCCTAGCCTGTGTTGCTGAGATATCTCTGTTCGTGTTTTAGGAACCATGTTGAATGCAGGCCCTGTTAAGAGCAAGCTCTGATCTGCACCCCTCCCCCCCCCCCCAATCTCACTGAGAACCTCTCACAACTGGGTACTCGCCCTGGGTTTGGTAACTAACCAGCAACATCTAAACTGAAGGCCTAGCGGGGGTAATGAGATGGTTAGGCAGGTAAAGATGCATTGTCACCACCCCTGACAACCTGAATTCAATACCTGGAACTTACATGTATATGAAAAGAAGATATCCCTCAAGTTGTCCTCTGACCTCCCCATATACTTGAACAGAAATGCACGCGCTCGCGCACGCGTGTACACACACACACACACACACACACACACACACACACACACACACACACTCAAAATTTTTAATCAAAGCTGTGTTGTTTATGTGGCTAGATGCAAAGGCAAGGAAAAACTATGCATATTGAATAGCACTGTACACTGCTACCTTGTAATTTAACTAAATGAAAATTAAATTACCACTTAGATGGGAAATGGAGGTTATGACTGTTACAGTAATTACACATAGTAATTACTGAGTAGATGCAAAACTGGCATTTTCATAAATGTTGCTTCTCAAATGTATTTTAATTTATTTAATGTTTTTGTTTTATTTTATTTATTCATTCTTAAATAAAACTTAAGATACTGAGATGGACATAAGCAGTTAAAGAATGGAATGTCTGAAGAGACAATTGTTTGAGCATTATACTATATATAATACACCAAAACAACAGTGGTATCCATAAATATGGACATTTAAAACATCCCTTATGATCATATCAAATATTTAAACAGAGCCATATAAGGTTTTTTTCTTTTGTTTATTCTTCTTTTTTTTCCCCTTTTGGTTTTTCGAGACAGGGTTTCTCTGCGTAGCTTTGGAGCCTGTCTTGACACTCACTCTGTAGACCAGGTTGGCCTTGAACTTACATAGATCCACTTGTCTCTGCCTCCCAAGTGCTGGGATTAAAGGCGTGCACCACCACCGCCCAGCAATATAAGGTTTTTATCCACGTGAACATTTGATACGGTTAAGCCTTCATTTTAAAAGAAAAGTGTCTGTAGATACCATATGTAAAATAGATGCTGTGTCTCCAATTTAGTAATTCTTACATTAAGACATACTCATTAAAAACTACATTTTGATGTCCAATCAAAAGTATTGCTAATCTTTCAAACAAATGAAAATCCAGTATGAACCAGCTTTTACAAAGTAAGCAACCGGATTTCCTCTTTACCCATGCACCTATTCACCACCATATGGTTTTCTTACCATCATTTTCTTTAGCATGAGGCCACAGGGCTAACATTAAACTGGGAGCTTATTTCTCATTCAAAGATCTATACCGCTTCCTAGCACTCAGGAACACACCTGGCACTTAGCTAGCACTCAGTGTACAGCTGGAAAGGAAATTAGTATGAATCATTATTTAGTAGAACAAAGAACGTGTTAGCAAAAACAGCTATCTTTCCTTGAGAAAGTGCTATTTAAAGTCACACGACTACCTTCAGAAGCTACTTTAAAATGCTACTTTTGTAAATGCAACGGAAGCCTTTTTGTCTTGTTTTGTATTTTTAAGAAAGGGTCTCACTCTGTATCCCAAACTAGCCTGGAATTTGCAGCAATCCTCCTGCCTCAGCCATTCCTTAAGTACAGGATTACAGGCATGTAAAAAATTTTTGCTTTTTTTTTTTTTTAATCAGGAGAGGGTTAGGGCTGAAGAGGTGAGTCAGCCTTTTAAGAGCACTGACTGCTTCCAGGGAATTCAGGTTCAACTCCCAGCACCCCCATGGGGCTAACAACCATCTGTAACTTCAGTTCCAGGGAATCCGACACCCTCTTCTGGTCTCCACAGGCCCTGCATGTATGCAGTGCACACCCACACAGGCACAAAACCCAGACACACAAGATATTTTAAAAATCTAGAGAGGTTTCTAAAGGTTTTACAAATGATTGTAGTTTATTTGCATCACTAAGGATGAACATTCCCCCAAACACTGCTGAATTTAACATATGTGCACTGAACACAAACCCCAGTGTTCTGTGCACAATCTCTATTCCATAGGTTCATGAGGCAACATTGGCAGAATGGATTTGATAAATTAAGGCTACATGTCTGAAAATGTCTTATATTCTGGAAAAACTTCAGGAAATCTGTGAAGACAGGAAGGTGGGAGAGTCTTTTTAAAGAGTAGGAAAGCCCATGTCAGGGTAAGCATGCTTAAGATTTTAGCAGGCATTCAGAGGTGGAGTAAAGGGCAAGTTACAGTTTTGAGTAAAAACTCAGACAAGTTAGCAGGCATAAATATTTAGTTTTTGTTGCCTTTTAAAATTGGAAAGGAAAAAGCTTTAGGTAAGAAGTCTTTTTTGGACCAGCAACAAAGACCACTTCCAGGAACAAAGACCATTCAGCCTCAGGGGCTGAGAAGTACATTATGTTTTTCACTTTTCATACAGTACTCTGTAAACTCTCATGAAATAACCAACACCATCACACAGCAGCCTTAGGATCAGGACATCAACCACGAGTCAAGTAAGCATTCAGAGCATGTGTGAGGTTGGCAAGACCTTGATAACTTGTTTAGAAGGCTGGGCATATTAAATGGCTTTGTAGTTTTGCTTTTTTTTTTTTTTTTTTTTTTTTTTTTTTTTAAGAAAGGGTCACTCTATGTAGCCGAAGCTGGCTTGAAACTCCAGACCTGAATGTGGGCAACTACCCTGCTTCCATACCTGAACAGCTGGTTTTACATCCATGTGACATCAGACCCAGCTCTAAAAGTATTTTTGAGCCCTCCTTCTCCCTACTAACTTATGATCAGACTCATCTGTAGGGAGCAGGTGAGTAAAATCCTAAGTGAATGTGTGTTGTTGACACAGGCACAGCCATGTCAAGGACCCCATAACCTAAGGCTGAGGCATGGAAAGGCTCAGAAGGCAAGGCCTTCCTCAGGGGACTAAGTGTTCGTGTAGACAGTATGTGCAGAAAATGTCCACTATAGCTTTCTGCCTGCTGGATATTTACGGCCTGAAAATGGCACACTGACAGAGCATGCTCGTACCAAGGTTACCTGACTCTGTCTCCTGGATCCAGCCTCCTTGTTTATCATCACGTAATAACCCTGCCTCCCTGTTCAACTTGATATGCTGCTGAGCTCCTGGAGTGCTAAATTTCTCTTGCTGAGAGCCTGTACCACCCAAGCCCAGTTTTCTGACCACGTTTCTGTCTGTCTGTCATTTCTTCATTCCCTTTTGCCCCAATCAGGTCTGTCCCTGGAGCCATGCTGCAAATGTCACTCATCATAAATTGAGGAGCATCTTTCTTTACCAAATTATCGATTCTGCCTCAATTACTAATTGACACTTCTGCCTCAAGGCAGTGTCAGCTACTGTTTTATACAATAAGGTTAACAACAATGATTATAGCTCTCTACCTGTTCTTAAGGAGTGTGGCCAACCAGGGAGCTGCATCAAAAGTGAAGGAACACAATACAATACAATGCAATGCAATGCAATGCAATGCAATGCAATGCAATGCAATGCAATGCAATACAACAGGGCACCTAAATTGACTTGCAGTGGGACTGTGGAGGAGAGAGAGCCTTTGCCAAAAGGTAAACCTTCCTGACTTTGTATCCACTTACTGAGTAGTCTCTGTTTTAATTTTATAAGCAACCATGAATCAAAGCAGCTGATTGCCTAGTGATACTTTTAGAGTGGAAAGGATCAATGGGCTTTTCTTTATGACAATTAGTTGGTAGTGATTGAATCATCTGTTTAGCTTACACTCCAGTGTTAAGACATGGCCAAGACAACAATACCCAGTTTAGTTTATTTACCAAAGAATTTAAGCCTTAAGAGTTATAATTTTCTCTGTATAAGTGGTAAGCTTTAAATTAAAAAAAGTTCGAATCACAAAAGGAAACGAGATATAAAATATATGCCCTGGATAAAGGATAAGAGAAAATAAGTTTACAGTAAGTGATAGACTCCAGGGATTCCCAACCATCGTTTTCCTGCTACAAGAAATTAAATAACTTTTGTTGTCTGTAAATTTCTACTTAAATTAGAAAAGATTGTCAAAATCCTATTTTTAACTAACTGACTTGTTACAAAACATTGGATCAAAATATGTATATTTACATTAAAATGTATGTACTTCAAGTGCTGCTTTCAAGGACTTTATAAAACATTGGGCATTGTACAATTGGGACATTTGACGGAAGAAGCCCATTGTTAAAGACACTGTCCTACTAAAGTACTCGAAAGGCTCCATGTTGGTAGCCTCAGCTTCAAGAATGAATGAGGATGGTTGAAGGTTGACCCTGTTGTTTCTACATAGGGTTGACACTACCTTCAGAATATATTTAATCATGAATGAAGAGGAAATTAGGTTAACTTAACTCTACAAATTGTGTAGGATAAACTGAAATGTCTTTGCTTCAAGATTCACTCACCTCAAGTTGAACCCTTTGTTCCAGATTTTTGTATGATCTCTGTAGTAATTCCCGGGTCCCAAGGACTCCATACCACATCAAGTTTTTAGTTCGGCTTCTAAAAAATAAATATTGTTGTGCAATCTCGGGAAATGTTAAATTGAAACAGATAATAAATGAAATTAAAGTAAGATTGCCTCCAAGTAACAACATTATCACCATTACTGAAATTACCTGCATTTTTCAGGGTGTTCTTCTCTCTTATTATTAAATTCCAATGAAATTTTTGCATCTAATCCAATCCCAAAGTAATTGTTCATGACACATTTTTCTGAGTATCCCTCCCTATGATAATAAGGGAAAGTACATAAGAGTCAATTTCAGATTCATTACAATACATATAGTTTATTTACACGATTGGACTTAACACCAATGAAGTGTCCATTTTTCCTAGAGGATTGGAAAGCAGAAGTCATTCCCCACATATTTGCCACGTATGCAAGCACAGTGCACATGCAAGCAAAGCAGAGACAGTCATTGCTTTGTTTTCTGTTTACTTTGACAGCCGTAAGCAATCTGTGGCAACATACAGTGCTGACAACGCAGGCCATTGAAGGGATCTATGTATGGGAGTGATTTTGAAGTCGTGTCAATTCTCTTAATCATGAGAAAGTCTCTTCCACTCAACAGTAAGGAAAAACTTCTGAATTCAATACATTATTGTAAGTGTTATTAACAATTGTTTTTTATTTTTATAATTACATTTTTATGGGGTGGGTGTGTATTTCCCACATGCCATGGTGTATGTGTGGAGATTAGATGACAGTTCACATGAGTCAGTCCTCTCCTTCCTCAACAGATAAAGGTGCTTGTCACCCAACTTGATGACCTGAGTTCATTTCCCATGATCCATATGGTAGAAGGAAAAAAGTGATGCCTGCAAGGTCAGATCCTCTGACCTCCAGAAACATGTCTTGGTATGTACACACACATGCGCGTGCGCACGTGCGTGCGCATGCGCGCACACACACACACACACACACACACACACACACACACGGCCTAGTGATGTTGCACACCTTTAATTCCAACACTTGGAGGCAGAGACAGGAGAATCTCTGAATTCAAGGCCATCCTGGTTTACAGAGTGAGCCCCAGGACAAGTTACACAGAGAAACCCTGTCTCAAAAAACAAAACAAAACAAAAACAATGAAAAGGAAAAAGTACTTCAAAAAACAACGTAACAATAAATGCTGTCCCTGAGAAACACCAACACATAAATGGGACTTTCTAAAAAGCATTTTTGAGCTGGGGAGATGGCTCAACTTGTAAAGAATTTGTGGTGCAAGAGTATGCAGACAGAGTCCAGACAGCTAGCACCCAGGTAAACGCATGGTGGTCAAGACAGCCAGTCTGCAATGGGAACACAGGAGGGCAAGACAGGGCCCAGATCAAGCTGCCTATGTAGTGGAGATTAGCCAAACTGGCAGGCCAGCTCTGGGTGCACATGAGAGACCCTGCTTCAACACAGTGAGGGAAAGTGGTGGAAGACTCTCAGCTTCCAACTCTGGCCACCACACACATGTATGTGCCCCATACATGTGTGGATAGACATACACACACATTCACAAAGCAAATTTTAAAATGAAAACAAAAGTATATCTCACGCTGCCACAAGTGTTTTTAGGGAGTCTAAAGAGAAGAGATCGATGTGGGTTAGAAGCAGGACGTGGAAGATGGCAGGATTAGCAGACTGACAAGAAGAAGGCAGGGGATGACGTAGATGCAGGTGCAAACCGGCACTAAGGGAAACTTCCAGGGAGGGGCAAGCAGCGCTGCACCACAGAGTGGCTGCTGAGAGGAGGGGAGAAAGGGACCCGACTCAGGGACAGATCACAGAGCTGGTCATTATCAACTTCTGAGCATGTTCACCACACTCTTTGCAGATGGAACCATACACTTGGGGCACATGCAAAATGTCAGGATTTGAACAAAACAGACCAAAAAAACGAAAAGTTGAAGTCAAATAACTACAAAAGTTTTTCTTACAGTGAATCGAGATCTGGGTCAATAAACGGTGTTGCGCCAAAAGGGTCAATGTTTGCCAGCAACATTTTGTTGATGATAGAACTCCCAGCAATGGAGGCGGCAAGTCCTGCTCTTAAACCTGACAGAAATACAACACATGTTAGGAGAAAGGAGAGACAGGTCAGGCGTTGGTGGCGCACGCCTTTAATCCCAGCACTGGGGAGGCAGAGGCAGGTGGATCTCTGTGAGTTCGAGGCCAGCCTGGTCTCCAGAGCGAGTGCCAGGATAGGCTCCAAAGCCACACAGAGAAACCCTGTCTCGAAAAACCAAAAAGTAAATAAAAAAAGAGAGAAAGAAAGGAGAGACAAATCCAGTCCACTCAGAGCATGGTCTTGTCCCCAACATATTGCTACCAAAGCCTGTGACCACTCAGCAACCACTCAGTAGTCAAAACATAAAGGATGGCACTTAGAAACATAAAGAATTTTAACATTTCCAAAAGTCTGTATGTTGTAACAGAGGATTATGGAAAGAATAGCATGAAAAGGAATATCTGCGATATTTTCTCACGTAACAGTTAGCAATTCTGCAATTTTCAGTTTTCAGTGTTTCTCTTTCTGGATTAAATTCATTCCTAAGTGTTTTGTCATTTTTTTTTTGTTGCAATTTTAAGTAGAACTTTATTCTTGGTTTCATGGTCAGATTGCTCAGTTGCAGCGTATAGAAATATGATAAGAATGATTTTTGCACAGCGATCATTTTCTCTGTAATCCTAGTGTAGATTACAGATTTGGTGGTTTAGCTTGCTCATGTGCACGGATGTGCATGTGCACACGTATGTATCCCTTTGGGTTTTCTATAGCAAGACAAACCTGGGAAGACACACAGTTACACAGCTGTTCTTTTCTTTTCTGGATTTTTGAGACAGTGTTTCTCTATGCAGTCCTGGCCGTCCTGTAGATGCCCTGGAACTTGCACAAATCTGCCTGCCTCTGTCTCCTAAGGCATGTGCTGCCATGCCCTGCTTTTCTTTCTAGTATTTTATTTTGTTTTATTTCTTCTTAAAGGGAATTTTTAGCTCACATGTTTTTAGGCCCATTTCCTCTGAGTTCATATTTCCATCATAATCTCACCTATTTCTCTTAGCTCCATAATGATGTCTCGAGGCTTCTCTCATTCCTGATTTTAGTGATTTGACTCTTCACTCTTCAACTTTTTTCATTTTCTGTTATTTCTTAATTCTCTTATTTCCACTCTCATGTTTATGACCTGCTTCCCCCATCAGCCATCACTGGTCTGCTCCCACCCTCGTTTACCAGGGTGGCTGTCAGGGGACTGACCAGAGTGGCTGTACATTTTCAAAGCGGGAGTTCCAGAGGCACACTCCCCTCCATGCACATTTGAGCAGCATCAGCAAAGTTCTAGGATGGTGATTTCTGTTTTCACTCATCTCAGAGTATTCGCTCAACAATTAATTATTTCTTATTTTCTCTAATTTACTCCCCTACATCTTTCCAGATCTCATTCTCTCCTTGGTTCTTTCCCTCCATTGTACTGAGAGTAAGCACACAATCGTGAGATTTTGATCCTTTTGATTTTACTGAACGGCTGTGACCTAACTGGCTATGGCCTGTCCTAGAGAATGTTCTACAAACTCTTGACAAGAATGTGGTTGCGTGTTCCTTGGATGTTGACTGGATACTATTGTTTAATGTGACCTCCAGGCACTCTACTTCCCCGATCATCTGTCTGGTCATTCTGTCACTACTGAAAAGGAGGAACAAATGTCTCTGTAGGGAGACACCATACACGCCTCCTAAGGACTGGCTACAGGTATGCCTGACCACATCTTCGAGGGCGTGGTCAGGGTAACGTGGGGAAGGTTTAAGAGTGAGGGGCACACACGTGGAAGCCCCTTCTTCCTTTTCATCATCGGCTTGCTGTACTTACTCTGTGTCCTGCCAGCTGGCTAGGTTGCTCTGTAAGTAATGCCTCTCTCTAATAAATACCCTTATATCTTTACCTGACTCTGTATTGGTAATTCTCTCATTATGTCTCCAATCCTTATTTGCATTATAGAGCTCATTTTTAAAAAGAAATTCCATGAGAAGCTACTATTCAGGGTCTAAATAGATTCCAGCATACTATGAATGAAGACCAAAGGAATTTCTTAGACACATATACTTCCCCAGCTCCTTAGGGAGCTCTGAGACATGTATTGTTTTCCTCCAGCTCTTATCTATAGTCTCTGGTGTCTACTTGCATTAGCCTAATCCAAGGTAAACTCATTTCATCAAGGCTGGAACAGATACCAGGCTAAAAAAATCTCTGCAGAGAAAGTAGAGGCTTAAAACCACAAGGAAAGCTCTAGACATGCTTGGAAGTCTCAGAATGGAAGGTAAGCTCCGATTCAGGGACAGGAGGTAAGCTCAGACTCCTGAGCTCCAACCTAGAACCAATGGACTAACATTTCTCAAGGTAGGGTCCAGAGGCATGTGTTTGAATATGTCCTATGCAGTTAGACATGGAATAATCTGAAGAACTGGATTCCTATGATAAGTTGGGCAAGAACACTCTCTTAAAGGAACATTTATCACTAAAAACACCTTAGCTCGTGAGTAAGAGAAGTTAAATATTTTCAGAGATATACTGAAACATATACCATGTCACACAACTGTACTACCTGGGCAGATTATTCTGGTGTTGAGCACAGGGAGATTTTCTTTGGTGGTGGCCATAGCTGAACCAGTGACAGAATCAGTTTGGAAATGGCCACGACTTGCCTGGGCATCAGGAGACTGAGATGTAGATTTGGCTGTTGGCAAAAAGTCCAGATTAAAAATGGCAAATGAAACCAGTATAAAATTAAACAAAATTATAAACAACTTTATACCTGAAAACACACAATAACAACCAAATGCCTATTTAAATCAATGAGTGGAACTGAAGATATTAATTAGATTTACCTTCATTTATCATTTTATTTCATTTTCTTGAGCTATTTGGAGATTATCTACCAAGGGAGATACATTGATCTCTGGTTTTGAATAGACGCTACCAGAACACAGATATCTACCATCATTAAAAGTCAATAATATGCTTAATTTGAATGTGACTAACCCATAATTGATAAATAGAAGACTTAAAGCCTGACGGCCATTATGACTACCAACATTACCTGTTAATTATGAATATTGGGTAAAATGTCCACATTTAAATGATATGACTCCCAATAGGATACATGAATGCATGTTAAACAGAAGATAATATAGTCTTCAATTAATGGAGGCACTTGGCTGGAACTCAGATCAGTGCATCACTTAACCCTCATCAGAAAAGCTTCTTCTTGCAGTATATGGCAATTAACACCAAGACCCACAACTAGACAATGTCTGGAGAGTCAAAGACTTTGGGGCATCCAGCCCTAAATGTGATGCCTTTACCAAACTCCTCCTCTGAAGGCTCAGGGAACTATGCAGAAGAGGAGGCAGAAAGATTCTAAGAGCTGGAGGTGGTGACTGGCTCCAAAGAAAAAGTGTGTTCCAGACACAATGAGGCTGACACACACATGAACTCAAAGAGAAGGAGACATCATGCACCAGACTTGCATGAAGTCAAATCAGGCAAAATACCAGGATGAAGAAGGGAGCGTAGACACAGAGTCCCACCTCTAACCAAGAAGCTATTTGCAACCTTGTGGGAAAGAGAAAACTCAGTTTTCTCTAGTGGAGTGTCACTGGGTAAATCAACCACACTCCACAGCAGGCTCTAGGTCCAGGAGTAGGTGATCAACGTAAAACAGAACTCCGTGCACGTGTGGCCATGTATGCTTTTTGTATTTTGTTTGTTGAATTGGTTTATTTGTTTTGATCTTTCTTTTTGTTGGGAAGACAGGAAGGGAAGGATATTTTGGGGGGAGAGAGAAAAGAGAGGGAGAGATCATGAAATTGGGTTGGTAGGGAGGGAGGGGGATCTGGGAGGAGTTGAGTTAAGGAAAAGAATATGATCAAAATACGTTGATTGCAAAAATACAGTTTGTTTGTTGTTTGTTTGATACAGGGTTTCTCTGTGTAACAGCCCTGGCTGTCCTGGAACTCGCTTTGTAGAACAGGCTGGCCTCAAACTCACAGAGATCTGCCTGCCTCTGCCTCTGCCTCTGGTGTGCTAGGATTAAGGGTATGCACCACCACTACTCAGTTGCAAAAATACTTTTAAGGAAATACTTTTAAGGAAAAAAGAAAAAATAAAACAAATGGAAAGGTATCATTTATTTTCCAATAAAACCAATGCACTTTCCTTGACAACATTTATTCAAATGATAATAAGCTCCAAATGCTTTTGTGACACTTTTGAAACAGCTCAATACAGTTAACATCCTCAAGAAAATAAGAAAAAGATTTAATTCTATCTAATATGAGGCAAGTTAGTAAAAGAAAAACAGTACCTTGATCTAATCTAGAGGCCAGCAGTAGGTATTAAAAAAAAAAAAAAACAACCAGTAGTCATTAAATTCAATTTAAAAGTACTCCAAAATTTAATTATCTTCACTCTCCATCAGACTAATTACAAACTTAACTACATTAATCTTGCATGCTATTTGCTCTGATCAAACACTGTCCAGCTGCACAAAACTAACAGAGGCTACTCTGTTGTGTGTGACAGACAGGACTTCTGGGCTAATCTCTGATGCAGAGCAACTTTTGATGTTTCCCTCTGATAAAAAGCAGAGTGCACTAATGACTAAGATCGATGCCCCACTGCAGGGAACTCAATTAGTTCTTCATGTTTCTCCCTAAATAAAGCATCACCTTGAACACATTAATACACTATTTCTCACATCTCAGACACCAACTGCTTAATTTAATAATGTCACATTATGGATGGTTCAATAAAAGTACAGTACTGACCACTGAACACCGGAACACATCCATTGCCAATGAATTTCAGTAAGCAGGATTATAGGCAAAATTGGCATCAAACATGGCAGCATTAAAGACTTTTGCTAAATCTATGCTTCCCTCTCTATTGAGCACTCTAGTAGTATCTTTTAGTTTCCTTTCTCACTAATGAGATGGTGAGTTTAAGACAGTATGGTAAAGTGGAATGCTGGCCGGTTGGAAGCCAGAGGCAGTGACTATACACATTTGGAAGAGAGCAAATGGGGATACCCTGCTGCTGTGGCAAAGCAGTTTTTAACAGGTGAAAATATCAAAGGCCTGATTACCTGTTTCACAGATAAAGTACATTGGAGGTGACAGAAGAATAAAAAAAAAAAATTTCAACAGAAGGAAATGATAGGCCAAATAAAAAAGATGAAAGCTTAGAAAGATGAGGGAAAGCTGTTGAAATTAAATTTGAAAGGAAATTTGTAAATTTGAGCAACATCAAAACATGCTGAATGGGCAGGATGAGTATCTGTGTCACCGCCTTACAGATAACACCTGGAGTTTGTTCAAAACATTTTCAGACACACACTGAACAAATGAATGCAGCCAGAAAAGCAACTCGAAATCACCAATTATAGACAAGTGGAGGAAGCTAGGAGACACCAGATATGAAGACATCAGATGACGCAAGGAGACATGACACCGTGAAAGCCACTCACAGCATCATTTAAGGACAGCCATAGGGAAGAAGGGGAAGATACAGCCCCAGGAGACAGATTCATCTTGGAACTTGTAAAATACCATGTGGGGAATTAGATCAATCATTTAAAACAAAAACAAAAAACAAAAAAACACCATACAAATTCCTGAAGTTCATACTGCCAACATCAATGATACATAAAGCCCATTAATATCCTCCATTGAAAGACCCCCAACTCAAGCCTAGCCTGATACCCACCAGCATGTATTTAAAAATCACTCTGGCTACACACAGCTCTGGGACAAAGAACACATGAAATGGTCAGTCATGATGACCAGTCTCTGGAAATTGTTGCTATTACTAGTTTCTATTATCTTCAATAACTGTCTGGTTTCTAAAAATTGTCATGGGGTTACCCTCCTCCAGAGCACCCAAGTTTTGAAAATAAGTATAAGTCACTCTGTTCCCAGAAAAAACACTAGCTGTCCCGTGGCCTTGCAGGTGTAAAAACCAAAATAACATTCCAAGCCCCTTGTGGGCAAAATTGTAAGTTCAGTTCCCAATCAATCAGTAAATGACTCACGTAAGTTATAGCCAATCAATATGTTGTCATACTGCTGCCTAGTGACCAAAAAGATATAAAAACTGCTTGCATTGGAAACTCGGGGCCGTTTTCTTCCCAGGGATCTACCCCAACTCGTTGGAATAAAATCCTATTGCTTTTGCATTGAACTTGTGTCCTGTGAGTGACTCTGAGGGGTGTGTCTCCCGGAGTTGGACTTCACTTTTGGGTTCAACACCATCAGGGGTAGAATTTGAAAGCAGGAACATGAACTTCATAATAAAGAATAGTCTAACAATTCTACTCCTAACAATTGCAGCCAAACGTGAGAGAGAAATGCACTAGTACTGAGTGGCCTGAGGGGCTAATGGCTATCTATGAAGAGTTCAGAATTTGCCTGTATGCTTAATATCTGAACTTGACAGAAACTAATTTTGATTTCCTTAAGAGTTCTAAGTACTATGAGTTCAAGGCCAGCCTGGTCTCCAGAGCGAGTGCCAGGATAGGCTCCAAAGCTACACAGAAAAACCCTGTCTCGAAAAAAAAAAAAAAAAAGGAAAAAAATAAAGAAAAAAGAAAGAGTTTTAAGTGCAAGTAAAATTTCCCCAGATAATAATAATAATAATAATAATAATAATAATAATAATAATAATAATAGAGTAATGATGTACAGCAAACATTTATAAAGCACTGCATACCAGATACCATTCTGGACACTTTTGTACAGTAAATTAGTCAACCTTCACTACAACCCAACTGAAATAGTACATTATCATCTTCATTTTTACAGATAAGAAAACTTCAGGAAGCTAAAAAAAAAAAATCCAAGTTTGAAAACAAAATCTTAATAAACTATAAGAAGAAACAGTTCTGATATATTATGCTGACTTCTCTTGAGTACATTCTAATTACATCCATACAACCTCCTATCTTTAACATTATACCTTCTGCTTGTATTATCCCACAGTACTACAATGACAAATTCATTACCTAATGAAAGCCAAAAGGCAGGGAAATAGTTAATAATCCTCAAGTGATAATATAGTAATTTCTAGGCAAAAATAATTTGGCAAAGAAAGGATGTAATTAGAAATCTTGTGATTTGTAAAGCTTAATTTAACAACAAGCATTGGCCAATCAGCAAAATATAAGGAACCATTAAATCCCTCAAAGGTTGAATTTGGTGCATGTGACTCCAGCAACTTCCTGGAAATTCCCTGAGGAATCTGAGAGCTACATTATGCTAAAACTGGGAAACGGGTGTTTCTTCTAAGATACTTAATCATATTTAGTCCCATAATGCTTAGTTTATTGTTAGTCTTTTGAGCACATATGAGGGATGAGAATGTTGTCAAGCCTAACTGATCTGCTACCATTACATTACTACCTTAGTGTTCATGAGTAACATAAACCTCCCAAAAGCCTTTTGAAAAGTAACAATTCAACAGTTCATCTCAAACTGAAAACTATAGGCAAAGTTAATTGTGGCTGATTTCAAAACGTTATCATCACAATTTCTCACCTGCTGGTGACTCTTTCGAATCATCATCTTTAGATTCCTCTGCTTCTGGGCTATCATAGTCACATGATGGACTAATTGATTCACAGGGTTGAACTGTCTGCTCATCCATAACTTTAAGTAGTAAGAAGGAAATAGATTTGCGTAAGTGAAAATAAAACTTATTCATATTGCAACATGCTAGGAAAGAAAAACTGAACCAAGTATCAAAAGAAATTCTACATTCATTAAGAAACATTGTTTAGTAACAAAATTGGGAGTGATGTCTGTGGATACTGGAGAGTATAAAAACCAAATAAATTTGTTAAGATTTTAAATTTACCAGAATAAAATTACATACAGACTTAAAGCAAAATACAAAGCTGGATTCCAAGTTAAATACCCGGGAGGTGGTTGCCAACATGATTTGTATTTAACTCAACTTTCATCTAGCACTAAAATTCTAGGCAGTATATACATTACACTCATATACAAAATGCAAATCTAGGTGCTGGATACATGGCTCAGTAGCTAAGAGCACACACTGCCCCTGCCGAGAATTCGGGTTTGGTTCTCAGCATCCACACTGGGCAGTTCACAACTGCCTGCTAATTCCCATCTCAGAGAGTGCAATGACTCCTTAGGACCCAATCTTCCATACACACACCCACACACAGACACACATGCACACACAGAATTAAAAATGAAAAGTAAACCTCTTAAAATTCGGATAAAGTTGTATATACTCAAACATTAACCATGTTAAGAAATCAACATGAAGAAGTTATTTTCTCTATTATCAACACTACAGGGTTGATTTTAAGAATTGTAAGAATTAAAGAGAAACCAAAAAAAGTAAAAAGACTGAAATTTTCAGACTTGTTCTGTTAGCTATTTTTCTACTCTAATTGGGATGAAAATATTGCAACTTAATTTACCTCTGAAATTTATTTTATGAGTCACTGCTATGGTGACTCTCACTATTCAAAGAATAGATAGAACTACACAAACTTCCCTCTAGTGATCTTATTGTCTTCTGTCATGTCATGAGACTTTTTTTTAATGTGTACTGAATCCAAGCATTATGCACACCGGCTATGCTTGTGGCAGGGATGTTTCGGCCTCTTTGAAGCTAATTTTGTGAGTGTGTACCTTTTCCAGCTTCTTCAATGACTTGCCTCACTGCTTTCTTTAGACTGTTTGCCCGAAGCATTATTTCCTGGGGCTTCATGGCTTTCTGGGAGGAGGGTTTTGCAATGTCATTCACGAGCTGGTCCTTGCTTTCACCCAATGACTCTTCACTGGAGGACTCCACAGCATCTTCTTCAGGGATTGCAGGGCTGACTCCCAGGGGAACCCGACTGGCCTGCGTGTCTGCATGCAGGGCTTGTAGCAGCTGTTCAAGCTTCTCATTTAGCACTGAACACTAAGAAAGCCAACAAAAAACGTCAACTAGTGACTAGAAAATAAACAAATAGCAACAACAGTGATGAGGAAGAGATTCAAATACATTAGACCGGCAGACATAATATACGATGTATTTTTATGTAAGATAAATCTTGTACGTTCTTAATCACTGGAGAGGAAAACATCAACATTCAAGTAGCTCTGGTCTTTTCTTCTGTACATGTTTTGAGTGGAGAATACATTAATTTTTCAACTTAACGAAGACAGAAAATGACCTTTACATGAGTAGGACATCAACCAGCAAGGCTCAGGAAACACAGCCCCAGAAGGGGGCAGAAGAAGGAGAGGAGCAATGTGGAATGGTGGCTTCTAGACATGACATAGAGTTACACACATGAACTCAGCATCTGTGGTTACCTGCACAAAGCCTGCAGAAGATCAACACTTAAACGTTCCAGCATTGAGGAGAGGGGGGCTCTGGAGGCCCCACCCCTGGGCTAAGGAGCTACTGGCAGCTAATGACTGTGTGGGGAGGGAGAGCCAGTTTCCTTTAGGACTTGTGGCCATTGATGGATTTCATGCCCAGGGGACGACCTCACACCCATGTCCACATGAGCAGCACTAACTGAACTCAGCATGATTTAAAAAAAAAAATTATGAAAGGAGAAGATGAAATGGAAAGGAGATGTGGGGCTCTGAGAGTCATAAGGAGTGGATAAGATGCAGTGGGGGGGGGGGATAAAATTTTCAAAGACTAAACAAAAATTTAAAGGAAAGAAGTTTATTTCCATTTTCTTTTTTTTTCTTTCACTCAACCCACTAGCATGAATTTAAGGGGAAGAAATCCTTCCCAAGCCAAAACTATCCAAGCCTTATGTAAAAAGGCCCTCTAGTGAACTTTAAAAGTAAAGACGCTAGCTTGTAAAGTCAGTATGGTATTCTTAGCACCAGACAGCCCATAACGGGGGGGGGGGGGAATCTGTAAAAGCATGAAAAAAAAGTCATGAAAGAAACAGAACTTTGAAGGAGTCACGGACTGGCATCTAGAGAATGGAGGACCCAAGCTGGGAGGTAGCTGGGCCACCAAATCTTGTCTGACATGGGAAGCCAGGCCTCACCCAATGGGACCACTGGCCCCATGGCATCCTCTGTCAGACTGACTGCATGTCTCTTCACGATGTCAGTCACTGAGAAATGGGATCTGAATCATAAAAATTTCGTTTTCTGAATACTCTCCAACAATGCAGCTTTAGTGCATGTTAAAGGCTAACCACAAATTAGAAGGTGTTTTTGTAAATCCCCATAACTGATGAAAATCATTTTTTCTCTTTAGATATTTTGGCAAGAGCACACCACAGCAATCTTTAAAAACACAGCACAAAACTCATTATGTCAATATACATCTTCCATGCCCTTACTTTATTGGCCACGGCTTCCGCTACTACTGTATTTTCCAGTGCTTTGTCCTGTGCCTTCTCCACTTTGGCAACGAAGTCCTTCACCGTTTCACAGAGTATCCTTTGAGGAAGAGAAATGGCCCAGTTTAGTCAGTGTGCTCTCATGCACAAACGTATTTATAAGTAAGTTACTCAAAGTACTTGAGATCGTTTTTTTACATAAGACCACACTTGCATCTCTGTCGATGTATCTTGGATACATTTAGGACTTCCTAAGTGAAAAGTGGACATGCAAATAAGTCTCATTCTCCATACTTATCGAAAGACTGCACTGGACCATTCTTGAATGCTTAAGTGAGCCTTATGAAGAATACTTTCAGATCCCCTAAAAATAGTCTCTTCCATGACTTAGATCATTTTCTTCATGTAGAAGAAACAGGCACAAGTTCTCCACTATCTACAGTGTCCACTGATCTACTAGTCAGCAAACGGACATCTTGATAGCACACTGCTCCTGAAGAGGAGGAATGAGGAAGCGTATTGCTACCAACCCAGACACTCGAATTCAGTTACGTTCTCTGTAAACCCATCCATTCCCCCCTCCCTTAAGATAACCAATACAATAACACACAAGCCTAACCCAATTGAGATCTCATTAGTGTCAGCAATATACGGTTTACTTGTTTGTCAAATATCTACTGGGGCCAGGGGTAGAATAGGTGGGTTGAACCCAGGACAAGAGAGGCGCTGAGAGTGTTGAGGCCTGAGAAATATGAAATGTATACATTTCTGTAAGCCAAACAATCCATCAGATAAACACAAGCCAGCCAGTAGCTCTGCCCAGTGTGCTACCCATCTCTCTCTATGTCAACCACAGTGGCTCACTGCCGGGAGCCGTTTCCCCCTTTCTGTTGTTCAGTGCTGTTTCCGGTTCTGTGTGGCTACATCCTCAAAAGCAGTTGTTACTGCAATTGCACGTCTGTTATCAGGGAACTTGCTCATCAGGACTTACTCTGTGTTTCTCCTTCATTACAAATGAAGTATTAATAAATCAAACTCTGCACTTTCCCACTCGGTTTTCTGCTCTCTCTGTGATCTTCTGCTACATCCTTTCCTTCCTGCATAATATCGATATATTCGCTGAGAGGAATCTTAAAAATGCATTCCATCACCTAGGAGTTGAAAATTTCAGCCGGCTCCATCCCCTTCCCCTAGCTGACCCTCTCCTGATGAGAGTATAGGATACCTGAAAGCAAATTCGAAATTCCACATCTGGGATAGTAACAACATTACGAAGCCTTGGCTCCCTGTATGGGATTAACTTAGCTAAAATCTGATAACTTTGAACTAAAATATAATTATGTAATTTAAACATGCTGAGAAATGTCATTTTGAAGAATCTCGTTATTTTCTTTTTGGAGATGTAAACAGTTAGAAAGTAGAAATGTGTGGGAGTTGAATAATAAATTTATGATGAGCTAGGATTTCCATGTTATAACTAATCATTGATACTTTCCAAATAGACATTTAAACTCTAAATACTTTTTCCACTTTGCTGACAAGAGCCTTTCAAAATTAGCAGCAAAATATACGCCCCTGAATAGACTCCATGCAGATGCTAATGTGACTAAAAAAAAAAAATCAAGTTCAAATTATTATATTTAATTCTCTAAGTTACTTCACACATTTTTCTAAGGAAAACCACCGGAAATGGTGTCACGGCCAGGAGCACCCTTCCCTTTCATGTCCTCCCATAACTAAACACTTTCTTCACTTCAGCCCCGCAACTCACTTGGCAGATGATAAGATCACTGCCTGTTCATCAGAATTCAGGATTTTCGTAAGGTGATTCGAAACAGAGTCTTCATAAATTGTCATCTGAAAAAGAAAACCCTTAGACTATATGATTGCTGTTGGTGTCTATACAACCCAGTTATGGCTGCTTTAGAAATGTGCTGTTCATACACATACAAACTCGGGGCAGAGGCTGTCATGAAAGGTGGGGGAGGGGGCAAATGTCATGAAAAGGGGGTCATTATGCAAAAAGTGCGGGATTCGTTATGCAAAAGAAAACTTCCCCTGACTCCCATTTTCAGGTTCTGGAGTTCTTTACACTTCTAGAAAATCAAATTAAAATTCTATTAATTTTTTAAAAAAATCTAAATGAATTATATATAAATATAGTATGACTATATGAAACATTATTTAAAATGAATACAGTAAAAGCCAGACTAGGGCAATCAAAATATGGATGAAAATCTAGAAATCCAAGTAGAATAACCTCATGGTTGACATTCAGTTTCATCACAAACCTAGAAAATACAACCTGAAACCACACACAGGATGGCTAAAATGCAAACAGCAGCAATCGGGAACCTGATGGCAATATGAAGCTTTCCTCCATAAAAACTGTAGTTCCTAGGAAGCTACTGGACATTGTCTGTTAAAGCTGGACACGGGCAGACCTGACATTGGAGGACCCAGAAACTCAAGTTCTACATAGACACCCAAAGAAACAGATGTGTGTTCAAAAGACATGGAGTAGATGGGATGTTCACACGGTGTTGAATGAAGTGTATTTGCTCCATGGAAATACTACAGGACACTGGGAAGGAGAGAGTCACAATTATGCCACCGCACAGGTGAGTCTGACAAGCTTAAGGCTGGGTAGAAGGAACCAGAGCAAAAGGCACACAAAATGATCTCCATTTTATATTCTATTTTTCTATTCTCCTAAACCAGACAGCATTAGTGTAGGCTGTGGTCTGGACAGCGGTCATCCATGAGAAATGTGTGGGGTGTGCAGAAATGGTGTTTTGTGATGTGGGTGTCAGTTACAGAAGTTCTGCCTAATTTGTGAAAGTGTCCCAAGTTATACATCTAAGATATGCACACTTTTCTGCCTATATTACACTTCAGTTAAAAAAAAAAAGGCTTTTTTAAAATTCAGTAAAGCCATACAATCTGGTAACCAAAAAATTGTATCGGTAGATACTCCTCTCCAGACAATGAAACTCACTACATTCCCCAATGTCCCCATTTCTCTTAACATCCTATTGAAAGAACACATCTTCCTGATACATAAAAATATGCACAGTATTTAAGCACCCTCATGTAGTCTTCTGACCAGTATTTTCTTCAAGTGCATTCCATGTCATAAGCCAGAATTTTCCAGTAGGAATGATGGTCCCACTCAAACTGTTCCTTAGCCTTGCTCAGACATCTTCTGGCTCTTATTTGCCCATTATCATCAGTTCACTCAGAAATAATGGAAGTTTCAGTAAACATTTTCCTCCACAATGCCATTCTGACTGGCATCTTCTCCAAGAAATCTCATTTTAAATTTATAGTCAAGTCCACTTCACCACCTTCAAATGCAGACCACACCTGGAAAAGCCACAACACCGCTGTAGCCACAGGTCTCCCTAGTTGCACTATATTGCCCTGACCCTCTAATCGCCTGATGTGAATACAAAATCTGTGTCTTTAAAGATCAGGACAGTGGAAACCCATCGTTTAAAAATGCAAAATAGAGCGATATTCTTCCTCTTATTCTCGTCACTGCAGAGTTGGATATTATATGACATGGTAGTGATGCTATGAGTAAGTACATTCATTAGTTTATTAATTACTGTCATTTGATTAATGCCACTTGAAACCTGTATTTATTTGTTCATTAAAGATAGTCAAAGACCAAAAAAAAATATATTCAAAGACAAAAATATACCTCTTACTGAGGACAAAAATAATCTTTACATCCAAGAACAAAATTTATAGATTCCACATTTTAATCTACTACAGTGTCACTTAACAGAGACATGACTTCCTTGTTTTGGGGGAAAAATTAGCATTAATGAAAAGTGCTACTGAGAAGACTAGCTTCTAGAAAAATAGCCATGATGGGTATAGTCAGATAGAATACTAGAGTTGAAAGTTTTGCTGTAAATTAAACAGTAAATACATTAACCTCAACAGTGGTGGCCTGGCTGTACATCATTTCTGTCTTCCATTTCATATGGTTTACTATTTTTGCATGTTTTAGAGCGTTTTCACTGCTTTCATATCTGAAAAATACATTCATTTTCTGAAGGGATGTCCCGTGTTTCTGTTTGCCATGTCTTGCCTTAGTTTTGACAACATAATAATTTTCTCAAGGGCAAAACAAAGATTTAGGCTCTAAAGATGTGAATTTTCCTAGAGGGAAAAAACACACCGTTGTAGATCAAAAAGTCTTAATGAGTCAGAGATAATCTCCTGGAAGGCCAGACTGCTTTAAATTTCCACTGCTCTGAGGTTTAAATCTATCTGAAAATTTTAGACATTAGTGGTCTGTAACAGGGATAGAAGGAATTGGGCAGTGTTTCTTCCTTTGCTTGCTCAGCATCAGCAAGCTTAACATGGGTTTGCTGTCTGTTCAAAGAGCAGGCAAACTAGCAGAGAGAGATTGCATGAATTTCCACCTGGAGTGCTAGGAAGTGGGTGGGAGGGGTTTAATGGAGCTGGATTAACACCTGCTCATCAAGCAGATGCTCATGACCCATGCAGAAGATGAGTGAACACTCACTCAGAAGGCTGCTATCTGCTGGCCTTCTGGGTCATGAGAACCGGACCTCACATGCCTGGTGCTTTACATACATCTGCACCATTAAATCCTCACAGCACTGTGGTCCATGTTACAGACGAAGTGGTAAGGTTCATGGAGTTCAGTGATTTAGGGTTCATGGTCATAGAAGGACTCTAAGCTTGATCCTCAGGATTCTTTACTCTGGGAGAGAAGACTGGAGGCAGTCAGGGACACCATCAAACAAGCATGTCACCACAGCCATCTCCCCTGTTCCCAGGATACCCCATTTCAAATGGTCGGTAGATAAAAGATTAGTCTTACATAAAATCCTTCAGATGCTTCTGGGGGTTGAGGAAGTAGAGATGCCTTCGCTGGCAATTTGAGTTCATACGTCATTATACTCCACCTGATAAGAGAAAATCCTCTGATGTAAAATATCTTAAAATTGTAATAAACTATTTCCATCTCCTATACATACATATATACATATATTTGTGGCCTACATTTTATTCTATCTTAAACCAAGGATGGGATAGAAACAAAGCTGCGATGATCCCATAAAACACTGGGTTTGATTTCCACATTCCACCGTTTCTCCAGTTAGCAGCATCCAAACATTCCAACACCAGGTCACAGCAGGAAAATCTGCTCATCCCATGACTTATTACCCTTTAAAAAAATCTATTTTTGTATGCTCATCTGTGCTTTATATACATGTATTTCTGTGTGGGGCTGTCAGAAGCCCTGGAACTGGAGTTACAGTTTGTGAGCTGCCATCTGGGTGCTGGGAATTGAACTCAGGTCCTCTGCAAGAGCAGCCAGTGTTCTCAACAGATGAGTCATCTCTCCGGCCCCAATTTAGTACTCTTGATGCAATACATTCTAACTTTTTCTTTTCTCTTCTACTTTCTAAATAAGGCTCATTGTAAAGTGCTAACTAAATAATATGCTACTAACGAGTCACAACCCTAAGTTCTAAAATAATGTCTTTTCATATTACCTATGAAAATAAGCCATTACACATTCGCCAATTGCTTCTGGAAAAAGGACATATGAGTGTGTGTGTGAGTGTGTGAGTGTGAGAGAGAAACGGGTTGAAAATGAGATAAACACTTCTTACTTTGAGAAAGGGTAATATAAACATATGATGGAAGGAAATTAGTTATAGAAATAACACTTGATTCAAGAAAAATGCATTCCAATTATTACTAAGTAATTAATAAGTATTATTAATTAATAATTCCAAATGTTAGAACATTTGAAAAAGTAATCAATGGAATAATTCCAGATTAATATTTAAAATAATTCCAAATTTGGGGAGAATAAGGGGCTAGGATCTTATTACAATCTAACAATATGAGAGAGAAAGTTTTTTTATAGATACAACACATTATAAAAGCAGTATTATACAACACATGAATTGTATAAAAAGCATACCTACAGGCAATTCCTAAACTAGTGGATCATACATTAGTAGATCCTAGTGTATCATTCGGACTAATGAGACTAAGTCTTTGCATAAAAACCCAAATTTCCAGAAACTTCCCCAACAGGCATGTTATTTAGATGGTGTGAACTAACCCATTACTTGTAGCTAGTATTCAACTCTCAACATGAAAACAAATAAGGGTTGGGGAGCTGTATCCATGGCTACAGCACCTGCTGGGAAATCGTGAAGACTAGACTTCAGATCCTCAGAACCTACATAAATGCTGGGTGGGAGTGCTGCCTTGCCCATAGTTCCAACCTAAGAAGACTGGAGCTAGCTAGCAAGAGTAGCCATCTCAGCCTGCTCTGGGTTTACATGGGAGACCCTCCCTCAATGAACAAGATGGAAGAACTATCGAGGATGATTTCCAATATCAACCTCAGGCCTCCTATGTGCATACACACACGCAATAAAAAACCATAATAGATAAATTATATAATTTCCCACCCATCCATGCAACAGATATATATGCTAAACATCTCCAAGTGAAAAGCAGAGGCTGGATCCACAAGAGTGAACAGGCTTCTTAATGAAGTACACATGCTAGCACGGAGACTAGAAAGGACATCCGAAACCAAGCGAGAGGAAACAGCAACCAGAACTGTAAAAGCCAAGCTACTTGTAGCTGAACTACTTCTCTAGTCAAAAGACAAGGGGTGGGAAAGGATTCCACCCAAAACCACCACCTTCCAAGCTGCATCTCCCTCCTGGACAGGGAATTCTGAGGGAAGAGGGAGAGGTGGCAGCAAGAGAAGAAAGCGTGGGGTCGAGGTGTGCATTAGCACTGGCTACAAGATGCCCTGGGCTTCTCTGGAGTCTGTGCTGGGAGGGACAGACCGGATCTGACTGGGAATCCGAGCCTGGACTCTGTTAACTCACCAGCCCCCCTGCTTATTGGCTATGTGACTTTGATCATCTCAAGAACAGAGATGACAATATGAGCTCATTGGTACTGTAGGGATAGCAGCATAAAATGAGTACAACAGAATGAGTTATTCCTACTCCCGCTGTCTCCACAAGTTGGTGTCTGAACTTTGTAAAATAGTCATAATGATGCTTTTATGAACCATGTCACAAGATAGCTCCAAAGATCAAATAAATACTATTGGGAAGCCTAAATGACATGGAATATTACATTGACTTTTCACCCCTATTTTAATGGGGATAGGATCTCCTGTTTTTCACAGACAGTAAACTCACAAGAAAACAAAAATGATTCTAACGACGATCTTCACCTTTGCTGTGTTGGTGCTGGCACGACAGGGTGCCATCTCTCAGCTAACCACTTGGGGGAGTGAATTTCTAGAGAGCTTTTCCAAGGCAGCATCAGGACTGCCCTTTTAATCGGTCTCCAAAAGAAGCATTTAAAATACTGTGTGTGGGGCTGGTAAGATGGCTCAGCAAGTAAAGATGCTGGCATGGAGACAGACAGCATGAATTAGATCCACAAGATCCACAGGGTTCAAGGAGAGAGCCAGCCCCGAAAAGACCTCCTCATTCTCGATGTGGCAAATGCAGGAACATGCACATAATTAAATATTTTTAAAAATCTTTAGAAAATACTCTGTGTTGCTTAGTAAGCAAAGCATAGAACCATTTAGGAATTTCTTTCAAGCTCTCTCTCTCTCTCTCTCTCTCTCTCTCTCTCTCTCTCTCCGATTTTATTTCATTCAAATCCTTCTTTCCCTTCAGTTTTATTAAAATAAAAACTGCCAATACTATGTATTTATGATATACAATTGTTGATATACAGAGGTCACCACAACACCTGAGCTAGATAACCAACCCACCACCACACTGTTATTCTTTCTGCTTCTCTGTGTGCATACATGAAGTGTGAGTGTGTGCATGCTCATGTCTATGAGTTCAAGCATGCATGGGCCACAGCCTGTGCACAGTGATCTGGGGACAGTTCAGTATGTTGGTCCCATTTTCTACCTGTTTTGAAACTGGGTCTTCTGTTCACAGCTGAATATGCCGGGCCAGCGTAGCTTCTGGGACCACTCCTGTGCCTTCCTCCCAATTCTTCACTCAGCTTTGCATGGGTTCCCACCCTGCTCCACCTCCCTCCTTTCCTTCCTTCCTTTCTAACCTCCAGACTTTCAAGGGTTAGAAATTCGGAATCTAGTTCCAGTCCAAATTATAAATCATTATGGTCCAAGTAAGTGAGTGTCACCTTCATGGAATTTTGGATAAATAAGGATAAGGTTCTACCATCCAGCTCTATTTTTCAGTATGTTGTCAGCAAAGGGATCAAGCATTACAACATTAAGTGTGACAGACAAGGTTACCGTGCTGAGGTTATCGCTCATCTTAGGATAATTGTTTTCAGGAAGAGTTCCACAGATGGCTAATCCTATCAAAGTTGTTTTGATTCATGCGAGCTCAAGTCGGTTGATATTTTGATATTTGTCTTGTGCTCTGGGGGGTGGGGTAATTACGGCTTACTGAATCTTCTTGTTCCCTAAACCCAAATTCTAAATGCCTTTACTGTAGCAGTCAGGCTACAAACACTGTGATTTCTGTTTTATGCATGATGATTCTAGGGTTGGAGGAGAGAGAAGGGGAGGGGAATTCAAGGACAGTGTAAACACATGACAAGTCCTTCACCTTCAGGTGTTTTTCAAATAATTCCCTCTGTCTCTGTCAGTCTCCCCCCACCCCTCTCTTTCTATTTCTCTCCCCCCAACCACCACCACCCAGGGCAAGCACCCTACCACTGCACTATATCCCAGCCTGGGCAAGACTCTTTGATCTTTTTACTACCCAATTATTTGAATTAACTCAGAGGAGACCCTGAAGCAAACTGAAGTTGACAATGCTTTTCTTAGGTTCTGAAACCCAAGGTCTTACTCTTCCATTCATCAGAAGCTCTAGCTGCAAAGTGAACTTCTTAGCTCTGACTTGAACACTGATTAAAAGTGACCGGCATCCCAGTCAAACAGTACACTTTTATACTCCCGGCACTCAGGGATGATGAGACAGGAGATCTCAAGTTTGAGGTCTGGCTGAGCTATGTAGTGAGGCCTATCCTCAAACCACAACAAAATGCAGATTAGTAACTCCATAATCATTTACATTTAAAATAATGAATTCACTGGAACCATTTTTTTCAGTTTTTTTTCATTCATTCATTCATTCATTCATTCAAAAGCATCTTTTATTGAGTGTCTACTTTGTGCAGGCTCCATTCAGGACCTCAGTGATCAACGAACAATACCTGGAAGTCTGGACTTTCAGACTTACAGTTAGTGGAACTGAAAGCATCAAGTAAGTTGAGGCTGGCATTTTCCGAAGGCAAATTTCTTTTACCTGTCCAACATTTTGGTACTGGCTCGTTCCAGCTTTTCTAGAATCTGAGGAAGCTGGGTGTCATCGTCATAGGAGCCTCCCCAGCCAAGAACTCGAGCAAGGTCATTGCCCGTCCCCAGAGGCAATACCCCAACCTGGCACTGCAAAAGAATGCAACGTGAGACTTTGAGAGAAATTGGAAAACAAGAACCTTGGGTTCAAGGCTAGCATAAGATACACAACAAGCTCCATTCACACACCCCAGTGAACACTTGCCTGTTTGTTCAAGTTCAGTTTATCAATTTCTGACAAAACCCAGCCTACACTTCCATCTCCTCCACAGACAAGAATCCGGAAGTTGTCAAACTTTTGAAATAACCTTAACCTGAAAGTAAAACATGTATTTTTTAGTGTAAGTACATAAAAAAAACCACTTTCTCCAACTACTATTCATATTATATTCATTAATATCCACATTCATATTAAATATAAAATGTTAACTTGAGTGCAATAGTTAAGAAACTTTTGAATAAAAAGCGTTATAAGCAGAAACAGGGATAAAGTAGAAGGAAGGGGAAATAGAGGAGGAGAAAAACAAAAGTGAGGTACAACCAGAAAACTGACAACTGAAGGTAAAGTAGAAGTGGCATTTCAGGACACGTCATTTCCTGAGGAATTACAAACCAAGGGAGGGGGACACGGAGGCTGTAACTAAGGACGCTGCTATCCCTTGACAATGCATGGCTCTCAGCATCCCATTCTCCTTGTATCAGTCCTTCCTTTCACTTCTGTCTCCCTTCCCGTCACTCTGTCCCTTGGTAAACCTCAGGTCCTGTGCAACAATCCCATAGGATGCTTAGAGATTTAGAGAATAAAGAGCTCCTTCGTGAGAAGACACAGTATCACCTCCACAGAGAAAAAAAACACACACACACACACACAGGCACCGACAGGGAGTGAAGTATCCCAAGGCCTACTCCCCTCAGTGAAAATGCCAGGTGGTTTACATTCATTTTTGGACTTTAAGTTATACAACACCACAGAAAGCTCAAAGGACAGCCAACAAAAGTCCCTTATCATTATCTGAAGTCAGCCTGAAATCCTTCAGGAACTGCCCTGCGGTGCTAGACAGAACCCCCTTTGGTTAAAGTCACTGACTGTATGTATTGATATAAGTCAACACTAGTTTTCCAAGAAGATAATTCTCTAATATTACTGTGTACTTTACATCTATACAAGTTTGTATCTCCTAAAGCTAAGTATTTGTTTGATGCGAGATACACACTTAAAACATTTTCATACATGTTTTAGAATTTGGAAGTCTTGATAATAAGTTTGGAATGGATATGATGAAGCTGACTAACACCAGAAAGGTTGTGTTAAATGTGAATTAGAGAGCACATCTTTAATCCCAGTGCTGAGGAGTGAGAGACAGGTTCACTCCCTGTGAGGTCAGCCTAGTCTACATACAGCTCCAGGTCAGCTGGGGCCTCATAGTCCTGTCGCAAAAACAACAAAACAAACAACAACTACAAACAATTAGAACTCAAAGCCAGAGCCATAGCTTAACAATGATAGGTTCAATGACCAGCACCATGCAGAAAGAACTATACAAAAACAAAACCTGACAAAGCTTAATGAAGGAAGGAGGGAGAGCAACAAAGAGACGCCCAGTGGAAACTGTCATTTTCTAGGGTTTTTAAATTTGTTTGCTTTGTTTTGAGACAGGGTTTCTCTATGTAGCCCTAGCTGTCCTAGAACTTGCTTTATAGACCAGGCCTGACTAGAACTCAGAGATCCACCTGCCTCTGCCTCCTGAGTGCTGGGATTAAAGGTGAGCACCACCGTTGCCCAGCTTGGAAACAGTGATTTTCATGGGGAGAAGGGCCAGACACACCTCATGCTATTAGAACCATATTTTACTCAAGTAAGATTTATCATTAATGAATTACCCTAAGTGAGGCCCTCCATTCATTAAATCAAACACCTGAGCCGGGTTGAGCAACTGTTTAAAGCGACGAAGGAACTTTACTCCCTGGTTATCTCCACTTTTAGAATTCACGAACACCAAGAGAGGGCTGACGCAGAATGAAAAAGTTGCTCTACAGAAACCTGAAAAACAAACCCAGGAAAAGGTTAGTATGTACATTTTTCTCTCTTAAATTATAAACAGACATTTAGAAAAAGAAATGGGCAAAAATAAGGAGCCTTCCTTATCGATGGCACATCATTATAATCTAATCCCCCAAAGGGACTAAGGTTACTATTTGCATCCTAGCAATATAAAACTCAAATTTTAGAACATGCTCGGCAGTGAAAAATCACACCAAAGAAATAAAAACCTCAATCACAGAGTACTTGAAATGGACCACCAACCTTACCAATAAGTAAATCTAAAGCCGGACGCTGATGGCTCACACCTTTAATCCCAGCACTCAGGAGGCAGAGGCAGGTGGCTCTCTTGTGAGTTTCAGGCCAGCCTGGTCTATACAGTGAGTTCCAGGACAGCCAGGGCTGTTACACTGTCTGGAAAAAAAAATCTAGGCTATGGGTTCCCAGTTGTCAAATAATCCATGTTCATACTCTGTATTTTACAATATTCCAATTGTTCTTTGAAGAGGCCTGAGAAAATACTTTAAAGTTTATAGAAAACAAAAGAGATGTCCAGGGCAGGGAGAACTGTCAAGAGCTCATCCTCTAAACTTTACATCCACACGTGCAATTATATCAGAAGTCTGTGCCTGAAGCACGGCCGAGTCTGCAACAACAAACTGCAAAAGGCCATTTGTAACGCAGTTCGTGCTAAAGGAAGCAATGAAAGCTCTATTCCAAAAGCAGAGATGTTAGAAAGTCTCCTCGGCACCTACACTTAGGCCTTGTCAGACTCTAGAAACAGCAAATGCATTTAGAGGACTACAAAGTCCTGCAAGGAAATTACGGGAGAGCAAATTTTAATAGTAGCCCATGCTAATGGACAGTTTCAATTATGGTGAGAGAACACACACAAATTAACCTTTTAGTATTTCAGTACAAAATAATAATAATCTTTCATCCAATGGGATGCAAAAAAAATCTAAAAGTCTTATATATGGTGATCGGGCTAATGTGTTCATGACTGCACAACAACTTTCATTTCAAAATAGTCATCTGGGAGGGGATGTGGCTCAGTGGTTGGACACATGCCGAGCTCTTTAAGATCCTGGGTTTTATCCCCAGCATCACAAAAATTAGTATTAGCTAAAAAATAACTATAGCTTCCAGAATTTATAAAAACGGACCAGAATTACAGTTTATTTATCACAGGACATTAAGTCAATATTAAATATGCAGAAATACACATACTTACACTACTGCTACGTACCATCAGAATCTGTGCTATTTAGTGCAATCGGAGGTATGATAGACACTTTACACTGGCCAAGTGGACAGACGGGATGGTATAGATCTTTGCAGGCGGTGTGTACCTAACAACAAACAAAGAGACCTTTAAGAATCATAAAAAACGGTAAATCGATGCCTTTCCGTGTTATAAACTAAATCTACAGACCTGCTCCTTCAGGATCAATACTGTCATAAAACGATCAGTGGTTAATAAACCACTATAGGCGCATTTACACTGTTAACGTTAGGCTGGTCTGAGCAGTCTACTCCTGTGTTTGTCTAAAATAAGTAATGCGTATTTGGTGAATGCCTGGTAAAGGAAAGGAGGAAGAGATGAAGGAGCTTGGCTACTCACAGTGTGTCTTCCTTGAGAGTCTTTCGAACGTGTCAGCTAGTCAAGCAGACATTCCATAAACACTTATTTAATAAGGCTTTATGTAATTGGTTCTTTAAGAATGAGAGTTGACTAAGTCAAACTTTTCAGGAAGATAACTAAAATTTAACAGAGATTTTCATTCTCCTAATGACCTATTTGGGGACAATTATTAATTCTAATAATAGCACAGATGTATTTTAGAAAAAATAGTGAACACAGATAGTTTTATGTTTGTTGTTTGGAGACAGGGTTTCTCTGTGTAGCTTTGGAGCCTATCCTGGCCCTCACTCTATAAACCAGGCTGACCTCGGGCTCAGGGATCTACCTGCCTCTGGCTCCCAAATGCTGGGATTAAAGGTGTGCGCCTCCACCACTTGGCCAGATAGTTTTAAAATAACGGATGTATGAGAATCGTGGAAAAACACAGAAAGGGATCTGTGACAAGGCTGCCTGAGAAAAGCAGGGCTAAAGTACACAGGCACTATCCTTTAAATTACACGATGGAGTACCAGGGTGGTGGAACTTCAGGTTTTGGTGGGGTTTGGTTCTCATTTGCTTTGTTTGGCCCTTTGGAACGAGATGACAGTAGCAAGCACTGGGTAGCCTCCAGTATAATCTCACCATCTAAAGGCAAAAGAGCCAGCACACCAACAGTGGCTAGTGTAGAAAGTATCAGACCAAAAGAGCTGTCACAAGGGAATGGTGACAGAAACCAGTACGTGTAGCCGACATAGAATAGGGCGGGAATAATTAGGGTGAAGAGTTAAGTTTGCCAGGAAACAAAATGGGAAGAAAGACATTCCAGAATGCCGCCATGTGTCACCTGTGACAGCCATCCCATTCTCTGGGATTCTTTGAAGTGCAGAATGCACTCTTAAGTACAGAGGTTAGGGGTGTACTGAGACGGAGGAGACACTTGTTACAGTCTGCACCTTATAATGCTATGTTAGCTCTTTTAAACCTGACACACACTAGGAGTATCTTGGAACGAGGACATCAGTTGAGATGTTGCAGGCAAGCCTGTGGGGCATCCTCCTGACTGAAGACTGAGCAAGCCAGGGGAGCATGCAGCACTGCCCTGTGGAACCTGCTTCATCCTCCCCCTCCACCTCCTCCTCTTTCGTTTTTTGTGTTTGAGACAGGGTTTCTCTGTAGCTTCAGAGGCTGTCCTGGCACTCGCTCTGTAGACCAGACTGGCCTTGAACTCACAGAGATGCGCCTGCCTCTGCCTCCCAAAGTACTCAGATTAAAGGCGTGCTCCACCACCGCCTGCCACGGTTCCCCTCTTAAGTTACTACCCTGGCTTCCATCAATGATGGGCTGTGATAGGACCTTAATCCAAATAAACCCTTTCCGCCTCACCTTCATTTTGGTTGTGCTGTCTTTATCACAGCAACAGAAAGCTAATGAAAACCAAAGTGAAATAAAGGAAAGAGCAGTTTATAAGAAAGAATGTTGAAAAGAACCACAGCACCAGGACAAAAGGAATCACATTTAATTTTAAAGCTGGAAGGAGGCACAGGTCACTATCAGACCTGACTAAGACGCTGTAGGACTTGCTCTGCTCGGAAGTCAGTCTCATTAATTATACAATCAGCTCACCAGACTCCTGTCCTTTCTATGCTGTCTGCTGAGCTGCTTCTCGAGTAACAAAAGCAGTAGGGTTTCCACATCTTAAAATAGGGGGTGGGGGGGTTACTTCCAAATTTAAAACAACAACATTAAAAAGACTACCAGACTCAAAATACCACCGAGCAAATCTATCCTGGTGAAAGGCAGTCACTTCTGTGGCAGGACAGCAAGGCCAACACTAAGCCGAATTACCTACAGCTGCCTGACCCAGCACTGTCTACAGGGCCACTTCCTCACACTGACGGTTCTCATTCAGTCAGAAACCGTGTCCCCATAACATTTGACAGAAACGAGACATGAAATACGACAGAAATGAGAATCAATTCCTTGATTCACATGCAAACTTTAAAAAACGTATTTATTTCTATAACACTCATATAATTCCAGTCATTCCAGCGTACTGAGTTTGGTATTATGTCAGAGGACAGACACAGGACTGCAGCAAAATTACATTTCAGAGATCATCAATAAGCTAGTAGCACCTTGTGGCATGGCTTTCTGAGGGCACTGTGTAGTTTAAGGGGCGTTGTGCTGAAAATCATAGACTACAGTGTGATGACATTAATACAGAAAAACAATAAGCTATGAGAAGGGGATCCCGTGACACAAGAAATATCTGAACATAAGCAACTACCGTAAATGGGCCATTTGAAAAAAGACCACACACACACACACACACACACACACACACACACACACACACACACACACACACACACACCCAATCACATTAGAGGGAATACACTTTAAAAACATAATGAGTAAACCATTATACCAAAAAGGGGTGTGTGCGCAACCAGGGTCTCCTTTCCCAGAAATTACTTGCTTTGCCTCTGGACCATACAAAAGACCAAGTCAGGGAAAGATGCTAACTTGAAGGTATAGAGTAATTCTAAGTCCTTACCATTGTTTTACACCAAAGGCATTTCCAATCTTGCAGGCGGAGAACGCTGCCACATGTTTTGTCACAGACTGCACACTTGGCACTCACGGGCAAGTTGCCTTCAAGCCATTGGTGAGGCATGGCGACCTATGGACCGGAAGAAAGGGTGGTCAGAGCAAAGGCTGAGAACGCCATCCTAGCCCTGCAGAAGAAGGGGAATGGCTTCTTACTCTACAGCCTCCATCACGTGTATGTTCAGAGTCCTTCACTCATTTTATCCACATTTACAGACCATCTATCACGCCTGAGTCCTAACTGTATACAAAGAGAAGACAAGGGCTCACCCTTTGAGATTCAGCACAAATCTAACTGAGGAGAAAGGCATGCAAAGATTTAGGAAACAGTGGTCTCTAAGGGTTTCACATGCAAGATACAATGGAGTCCGGGTTAGAGGGGGAACTGATGAGTGGAAGCCCAGAATCTGCAAACGGAACATCTCAGCTAAGCTTTAAAGACTTTTTGAGTTTGTCAGATAAAGGTCTTTAACACAGCCCAGCTAAGGAGCAAGCACTCCCAAGTCTTTCTTAGGACTGCCCTACAAAGAAATGAGGAATGCTATGAAGTAATTAATTAAAAATCAAAACTCACAATCAACTAACATTTGCACTTTAGGCTAGATAACCCACATTCCCACTTAACTCTCTGTCACTGTGCTCTGCAGCAGCAGGACATGAGAGGAGGTGCCGGGGAAGGGGGCGGAGCCACAGCAGCTTACACCATCCTCATCCTCTATGATATCCTTCCCGATGGAGGCCAGCGTGGTCCATTTGCAGTTATTGGTTGCCCTCACCGCACATCTTTTGTGAGCCTTGAACTTACACACTAAAAAAAAAAAAGAGTCATAAAGAGTGAAGGGTTTTCAAGGGAAGGAAGTTACAACATGAAATTTTTAAAGGCAGAATGGAAAAAGGCAGGAGGAAAACAAGTTTCAAAGAAAAGGTGTGGGCTCCAGAAGTGGTAACGGAAATCTTAAAATGTAATGTTTTTATTTGTGAAGCAGTTAAGATGTAATATAATAGATTGCTGCTAGGAAGATAAAATCAATAAAAACAAAAGAATTGGTACTTCAGAAGAGAAAAGCACGGACATGCGAACACACTCAAAATAATCCAGTAACACGAGTACTTGTAAAATAGCACTTCTCTATCGAGGTATGGATTCCCCTATCTGAGAAAATTCATTGAGGCATATATTTCTGATATTTGCATTGTTGTTTATTTATATTAGTAGTCTGAAACTGCCGTAAGGAAACCATCCAGAAGTGTTTTAAAGTTCAAGTACATTAAGAAAACAATCAGGCAGCTTGGGAAACAGTCACAAAGAATGGCAAAGCGGTAAGTGAACTAGAGCTGGGCCTGTGGCACACACCTTTGATCCCAGCACCTAAGAGCTGGAGGAGGTAGCTGGCTATGAGTTCAAGGCCAGTCTGGAATATAGTAACTTCCATGCAAGGACATAGAAGATGGTAAAAATTACATAATTCCTCATTACTTCAAAACCTTGCCATTAAAAATGAAACAGCTCATTTAAAACAAACATCATACTTTGTAATAAAGTGTTTCATGCCAGTTACCTTGTTTTTTGTTTTGCTTTGTTGGTCTTTTTTGTTCTTATTCTTTTTTTTTTTTAATTTCTGCAGCTGAGGACCAAACCCAGGGCCTGCTGCTCTACCACTGATCTAAATCCCCAACTCTCTAAAGTGCTTCATGCAAGCTTTTGTAACAAGTAATAATGACAAGCCAGACTGTTGCTATGGTCACCAAGAAATGCAAGTGACTCTTCTGCACCTATATTTTGTTAGGTGGCAACTGAATTTCTTCAGAGAGGGATGAAAAACAACAAGTTCCCTGACCAACAATATTGCTATCTAAAACCACGAAACTTCACAAATACTGTGGTAAAATGATGACTTTTATTCCGATATTTAATCTTTACCATGCTGGGTCCTCCTAAATATTGAACAGTAGTTAAGTACCCATTTTTGTATATTTGATATTGATTTCTTTAAAATTACCATTTGAACTTGTTTGTTCAGATACTATTTAAAAATTGTGAAGGGCAATTTCTCCCTGGGATTATACTTAACATTCTTAATTAAATTAGGAAATTATGAAAAGTGTTAATTTTTAATAGTGATTGACTTCTGTTTACATGTATTAAACCCAGCCAGCATCTGGACCGGCAGGAGAGGAAGGGGACAAGTGCAAAGCTCCATCCCCACCCCCATGTGGACTTAGGTAAATGGCTGGCACCAGGATAATCACAGATTTTATCATCTGAAATCCATTAGGAGTGGATTCCATCACTACTTTAACTTGAGCCCTAATAACACATGCTCAAAATTACTTAAGATGTGATTGCATTTGAGAATCAGCAAATGGTATCCATTCTATGCATGTTCCAAAAACTGTACCCAACACTCCATTCTTCACACTGAAGAGGCATGAGCTTTCCCCTGCTAGCTACTGACAGATTTGCCTTTGGTACTCAGGATCCTAAATTAAGTAATAACTCACACATATTATAATTAAGACTCCAGCATTAAAAACAGAGAGAGAGAGAGAGAGAGAGAGAGAGAGAGAGAGAGAGAGACTGACTAGCACGAGGATGAGATAAATGTGCATTGCCTGCCTAATGCACACGACAGTCTGGGTTCAATCCCCAGTGTTGTGCAAAGGGAACTAGCAATATGATGCCCATTTAAATGAAGCATAAGTAAAGGAAAATATTTCAAATAATGCAATATAAATAACATAATCATCAGGAATTCTGCCAACGAGTATGACCTGTTCTCCAGTCATTTAGAACAAAGAACACTTGAATGCTATCAAGCTCAAGGGATTTTTTAGACAGTAGTAGTTTCTTCTAGAGAACACTGAATTTTGATGTGTGCTTCCTTTCAAATAATTTCTGTCGAGCACCAGTATTTCCCACATTAGTTCCATGTGTGTAGAGCCCAACAATGAAATAGAAAAAAATTTAAATTTTGATTTAAACACATCTCCCAGGCCCTGTCCCCACCAAGGAAAGTGTTTTCTGCAATGTGTCTGTCTGCTTTTTTCTTGATGGTGCAGTACCCAGGACCAGGAGTCTATGGCACTTTGGCTGTTGGTAGAGCACAAATGCACAATGTTACAGTACCTTCACAGGACAGGCCGTGGGAGGTAACACCGGAGAGGCTCTCTCTGCACACGTTACAGAAGGTGGGCCGGGCATGGGAGCAGGCGTACCAGTTATGCATCCCTGAGAAATGTTCCACATTAAACTGGGCCACCTAGAAAAGTTAGACAGAGTTGCCAAACAGGAGACCAAGGCTAGAGACTCATGACTGTCTGCAATGTGCATGCCATAGTGAGGACCAAGCTTTCAATCCATCACTCTGGACAGCAAAGCACTTGAAGACAAAACAAGATCTACTTTACACAAGTTCTAATGAGCCTTCCCACAATTCCTCCTGCACAGACTAGCTCTGGCTCTGTGGCTGCTCTCATGCTGTAAGGACACAAAACAGTAGATGGCACGTTACCTCATAGGGTTCTCTGCTCTGTACTGACTTCAGAGAGCTGATCCAGTCTTCCATCTCCTTCCTGTTCTCAGCACAAAGCATCAGCCTTCTGAATGGAGTGATTATCTGAAACAGACAATTCAATCTAGTGATTATTAATAACCAACATGAGGGGTTTTACAAAGCCTGGCCTCTAACAAGGCTGTTTCATCTCTTCAGGGTCTTCATTTCCTTGATGAAGAAGAAGAGGTCTCTGTAACACGGAGGAGTTTCATTCTGTGTCACAGAATGTGTTCCAGGGAAGGACGCTATTCGGGAGTCTGCTTGTCTCTTGACTTTGTAGCTACTAATAAGGCTTTTTAGCTCTTTCTAAAGACAATTCCCACAAATACACAAGCATTCTTACTGCATGTAATGCATCTTCAAGCCTGGTTTTAAATACTTCAAAGTCATTTGAAATGACACCCAGCTTTCAATATGGAAAGGAGTTTTAAATTAAAAATGTATTAAATTCCATAACTGACGTACTATGGTATTTCCACTACCTGGGTGAATAAGATTCGTATGAAGGGTTTCCCCTCTCACTGTGCAGAAATTAATTGTATACCGTTTTAGTTAGAGCAAAGTGTACAGCATAAAAATCCTTGATGAAAGAAAATAATTGTGACTTTCATCTTTTTCATGACACTGAGAAAAAGCAAATTAATTGTATTAAGAACCTTAAAATAAGTGGGATGCAAAACTACAGCTGTTTTAGCACCAAACGTGCTTCCAAACAAGCTTCTAACTGAACTCTGCTTATCAATGTAGTATCGTGGATGCTGCCTGGAGTCACTGAAACCTACACCCTCACTGCAAAGAAGGGTCCATTTATGTACTTATGGCACAGCAGAAAAATGCTGCGTTCTGCCCAAGAAGTTATTTTCAAATAATATATTAGAGACTTATTTTTTTACAACAAACATAAAAACTGCCCAAGTCCAATCTCTTGGACTAATTAACTAAACATTTTCCTATACATACAGCAGATATCATGAGTGATTATGAAGAAATAATCGCCTATAAGGAAAAAAAAGGGGGACCATTCGTTAAAGACGGAACCAGTGTACTTCACCACCACCGATCTAAACAAGTACGTCTACAGTGCAAACAACAGAGAAATGAACCCATCTGAGCCACTCACCAGTCATTGCAGCCTCACTTGTGTCTAGACTACAGTGTCTTCCAGAAGCCCAGAAGCTTTCACTACTTCTGACAGGCATTTGCACTTAAATAGAGCCAGCCCACAGTCACATGGCACCGGGGCACCAACTGCTCTGCTGTGCTCTGCTCTGTGCAGTTGTTAATTGCACATGAAATCGAAGACAGCCTCACTTTTGCGTGTTCTTGTTTTAAACGACCTTCTTTGGGTAAAGCTTATTAGCAGTTGGTCATTCCTCTTCCTGAATAAATAGTTAATGCAAAGAGCAATGCCTCTCTCGTTACTTGGAAGCCAAATGGATGCTTTATTGCTTCAAAATGTTTTTCTAGGGCAGTTCATCAAATGTGGCAGAGAGGTACCATTAAATCATAATACACTCCTGGCTCTCGAGGCTGGCACAGCATCCAGAAACCTCCATGTTCCGCTGGCTCACTAATGCCATCTGAGTAAGTATTATAGGCCTCTATCATTTATTTGACTTTAGCTATACAATAGGATGTAAATATAAGAGTTTCTTTCAGGTGTCATTCCTCTATTTGATTTTGTGAAATTCTAAGCAAAGCATGGTGTCTGACAGTCAAAACTAAAGAAGCTTTTAAAGCAATTATGAATTTAAAAGGCAGAATAAAAGGCAGGTGATGGCTTCTAAACTTTCTTAGAGATTTTGGAACTAGACAGACACTTCAATTCTAAGTGAATCCAGCAGAAGTGCAAAACTCAATCATGGTCACACCTTCCACACTAAGGAAGGGTATATATTTGCAATTTCTACTTTTGAACCGAGTCTTGCTTAAATGAGCAAGCAGAGGTCACCATACACAAACATTCAGACACAAAATCAAGTTTTTCAAAGGCAAAAGGACAGTAGAGTGATTTTGATGGACAAGCCTTGTGATTGACCACAATTAAGAATCTACAAATTGTAAATCCACACTCTCAGAAATCAGTGTGAAGAAAAATCAGTTCTTCATAAATGACGTGGAGCAGAGATGGCCAGCTTTGTGGCCACAGTGCTAAAGAGCCTGGATGTCCGGGCTAAGTCAAGCTCGACTCAGCCAGCAAGCCTGCAGCCTCCAAGCCTACCTCTTTCCTCTCAGCTTCCCTCAGCCAGCTTCCATGCATGTCTTCTCCTCCCACTGCCTGTACTG